AACGATCATTAGTTTGTTGTGTGCATTAATTTAATTTATTTATTAAATGCGATTGCAGTCGGTTGTTATTAATTCGTGATTGTTATAGTTTTCTATATACACAGGGTGTTTCAATCCTAGATCATATATATTTACGTGGATAAATCAACGCCATAAGTTTAGCATTAGAATATATATTTCCAACATCACGACATATCATTTTCAAACCTTCTTATTGCACTTATGAAACGTTCCATAGGTTTGTCTTTCTCGAGGACATTACTTTGCGCATGCGCATTAAAAGTTTTTAAAAGAGTTAAAGCACGTATTTTCAAAATAATCACAATTTTATACGGTTTAGAAAGTACAAATTATACATTGTTATGGAAACCAACTTTTCATTGTCATCATATTGTCATAATCATAAATATGTCATAATTTAATAGAAGATTATTTTCTTTTATCTATGGTCATAATCTATGATCATAATCTTATTTCCATTGTGTAACGACGCTTGTTTTTTACGTTTTTTAATTTAAAAATTGTATCAATTACTCTTTTTATTACTCCAAACCAAAAAAAAAATACAAGGATAAACAAAAAAAACTATTTAAAATATTTAAATTCAACTATTCGAGAACACTTTAGTTTTTTAAAACAGATACGTCTACAAAAAACCGTTGACGTTCTGTTAAAATGACATTATATCAAGTTATTCTTAAACAATTACTACCTACCTGATAATAATTACTTAATAAGGTAAAACCAAAAAGCCCCAAACTTTCTGTATGATTATTTTTAATTTTTACGTAGGTATGTTATGTTTATTTATGTTATGTTCTTTAAAATCAAAGAAACGATTGCCATACATTACTACCATCTACAGATGCATGAGCAATACATTTATATTTATTAGATTGTATTAAAAAAGCCTCTTTTATTTTTCTTTTAGAGGCTATCGCTTCTTTCGTTATAATTTTGGCGTTATTAAAATTTATTCTGTGCCCTGTGTCCCATTAGCAAATAGACAACAAAAAATCTTCATTCTTATATATTTTGTATCTTATATCTGTATTTCAAATATTTGTATCTGAAATAAGTCACATCTCTGTTAATATCCTTATATTTTGTTAAATCACTGTGTATATTGTAATTAGTGCATTTCTAACAGCGCATCGGATAGAGATATCACTACTAGCTCAGGTACAACGGAAGCCTGGCAAAAAAGTAAGAAATTTGCATTTTACAGCCACTTCTCTTTCTTCCATTGTTTGTTTGGTTCGATTTTGCAGTTTTAATAAGTCAGCAAACCGTAGGAAACCGTTGGAAAGTAGAACGGTGATGAATGGACGCCTAGGGGGCGCTGGAGCGTAAAATTGAATTTATCTCACGATGGGTCGATGATGGGCAAGAGAAAATTCTCGATAATGCAGGAAGTATGTTTAGAATGTCGTGATCCCATCAAAAAAGTATAAAAAATGCCACCAACACAGCTCTTGAACTAAAAAAAAATTGTCTGTGCACTATGTGCGCACATTTGAAGTGAAACAACAGCTATTAAATTAGAGGATTTGAAGGACAACATGCTATTTTTTTTTGAACGCCACAAATAATTTTTTTAAACAATTTCAAATGTTCCAAATAATATAAAAAGATTTAAAGGTCATACCTTGTATGTAATTATAAGTATATCGAGAAACTATGGTTCTGCTTGTTGAATTTGACAATTTATGTCAGTTTAATAATATATTTTTGTAGTTATGTTTAGGCGTTAAAGTGTTTTATTTTTATGCCTAGGTGTTAAAATTACTTATTATTTTTTTATAGATATTGTTAATCAGGTCGCAAAAGTGAATACTTTTGGGACGTTTGAAAAAAAAATCTTTGGCAGCTAATTCTGCAGATAAAAATAAGTAAAAAAGTTCGTATAATTGTATGTCCTAAAATGCTTAGTTTTGGAGATACAGGGTGTAGAAAATTCATTTTTATTTCAATTTTTTCTAAATAATTTATGGAGTAAGGTAAATATTTCGATGAAAATTGGTGTCTGGGAGTTTTTTGACATGAGAAATTTGATTTTGATGTCATTATGATTCCTACTTGTAGAGGGCGCCACCTATATATTTTTTAACTTGTTTGAAGATTAATAACTTTTAGTCCGTACCTGTATAAAACTACTGAGTAAAAAAATATACACTTGCGACATTTTTACATAAAAAAAGTCTCTTGGAAAAAATCGCTACAATTACTGGTTCTCGAGATGAATCAAAATTATAAATACCTGTCATCATTGACATAAATTAATAAAAACAATAATTATTACACTGAAATCATAAATTTGAAATGCTTTTGTGCCAACAGTTTAATAGAAACTGTTTTATCATTATTTCTTCACAGAAAAATTTAGAATTAATTTAAAAAAATAAAAATTTCCGAAATTTATTATTTCAGTCACATAACTATCTCTACTCAAGGCGTTTATTTTTTGTCAATAATGACATGTATTGACTATTTCCATTCTAAATATCTTGAGAATGGTTACTCCTAGCGATTTTTATCAAGAGAAATTTTTTACGTAAAAAGTCACGGAAATATATATTTTTTTACTCAGTACTTTTATACAGGTACAGACGAAAAGTTATTACTCTTCAAAACAGTTAAAACACATGTAGGTGGCGCCCTCTACAAATGGGAGTCATATTGACATCAAAATCAAATTTTTCATGTCAAAAAATTACCAGAGACGAATTTTCACTTATAATATCACAAGAGCCAGGAATAATTCCAGGAATAATTTAAGCTTGCGTGGTATTCGGTAAGAAAATTTCACACCTAAATTTGAAAAAAAAAATATTAATCCAACATGACATTTTAAAATAATTTCAATTTGTTAAGTTGGCCAAGGTATTGCTAAAACTCAAATGGATAATATTTCAATATATAGACATTGTAGTTCATTCACATTATGATTGTAGATCTTATGTTTACCTTTTCAACTGTCAAAAAATTTCCACTAAAGTTTCGTGGCGCCTCGAAAAAATTTCCGGAAATTTTTTCAGTTGCCATGGTAACTAGTCAACATTAAAGCATGTTATTGGTTGAAAAGTAGAGGTGTGAAATTTTCATCTAAATATTGACGTTACTTCAGAAATTATTTCGAAAAAATCGAAATAAAAGTATAACTTCTACACCCTGTATTTCGGAAACTAAGCATTTTGAGGACATACAATTATACGAACTTTTTTACTTATTTTTATCTGTAGAATATACTGTCGAAGTTTCCGGAATACAGTTCGGACCACACTGTATAGTGTCTTTCTAAAATAATGCATTTAATCGATTACTACAAATCTCAAAATATGAAAATAGACAACGAATTATATTTTATGTAGAATTATCTGAATTATTACTGCATTACAAATAAATATATACTCGTATATAAGTTAATATAATACCAAGTGTGTTAAATAAACTAATATAAACCGAAATAAATGATTGTGTACTTAGCGTAGGCGATAAACTGTTCATTACGGATAAAGAACAACAATAACTATCTGCGAAACATCCTGTAGTTTGTTAAGCGCTGAAAAGCTTTGTACGCATATCACTGCAACCTGTAGAGAGACAGATCGATTGGCTGGAGAAAAAATCGTTTACACGTCGTTCTCGCATTTGTAGTCTTTTTGAAATCAAAATTATTCGTTATGAAAATATAAAATGACACCAATCATCGTATAACCGATGAACGGAGGCATGAAAATACAATACATTTAAAATCTTCGTCATTTTCTAACCAATCGAAGTCTTTAAATTCAACCAATAAAATTAATATCATATCAACGTATCCTTTTTTTTTCATAACAAGTGGCCGTCCTCTGCCGGAAACACTGTGACCTGTGAAACCTATTGTGTTTGTCCCCTTTCTCTATCTATACCCATTCTCCTATCCCGGTGTCCTGCACTAACTTATGCAGTTCCTTGATAGGATGGGAGCATAGTTCCGCCGGTTCTAGCCTAGCTTTCCCAAATAAAAAGTGTCGCTTGCGGTCCAGAGCCTCGCAATGACATATGTGCTCCGCTGTTTCAGGATCTTTATCCCAAAGTCTGTAGCAAATACTTCCTTGATACAGATTGAGTTTGTTCAGGTAACACTTGACAGCCATGTGTCCTGACAATAGGCTTGTTGTAATCCGCACTTTATTCCTACTAAGCATTAGCAGTTCTTTTGCTGTTTTAGAGCTAGGTCCTTGGATAAAAGCCTTGCTGTGCCTGTGCCCCTGTCTGTTTCTCCAATGGACATTCTTCTTTTCCCTGATCCAGAGTTTAAATGAACTACGGACCATACATTTGGATATTCCCAGTACTGGCTCTGGACCAAGATAAGATGCCGATGATCCTTGCCTAGCTAGCTCATCGGCTTTGTCGTTGCCTTGGATGCCGCTGTGGCCCGGCACCCAGAATAATTTAATTCATCGTATCCTTAGATTAAGAATAGATCGTATCGTCGGATAACGGATGCATGAAAATCAAGCTTCATTAGTTAGAAGCATCTTTTAAGATGTAACTTAGATAAAAATCTGTGCCATTGCAAAGTCTCAGATACTGGTTTTTGTCAAAGCTCTGAGGCTGTATAATGAGTTATAATGTAATAATAGCTCCCGTATATAGCGTTTAACGCCTTAGGAGTAGCAAGGTACAGCTTGCCATGCTAGATCCGTTCGGTATATAAGAAAGCAGGTAATGTGGCTAGCACTACGCTTCAACCGCCTATTATTACCTCAGGATTGTGAATCCCAAGTACTCATTTAAGGTCGACCTAGGTACCCAAACTATTTTTATTTTATTAACAATAGCCGGCTGTTGAACAGTCCACTTAAGAATCAAGTATTTTTATTAGTAGAATCTGTTGCCGTACATTTTCCAAGTCATTTATGTCTTTAAATCTTTGAATCTTAAAATGATACTGTACGCAGACGTGCCAGAATTAAAAAATCAATTCTTAACTCCATGTAAACGTATCTCTCTCCTGCCTTTGCCAGTAAGTCTGGATACTGGATAGACCCCGACATTACTCTGTGGCAAACGAACATTCAGAAACAAATTGTGATAGTCGTAGTAAAAGCTAACCACCTTAAAACATCATTTTATCAAGAAACAAAGTCAATTTCTAGCTCAGTCTTTTTGAAAAACGTTTTTGCTTTGTGATAACTATTCAAAATCGGAGAAAAATGGGAAAACATCTGCAAACCGTAGCTGCACTGGCGTGCATGAAGAGTTTCCTTATGGTTTTCAATTTCATCTTTTGGGTAAGAGTTTATCATTTTAATGTCAATATAATATGCCAATCTATTTATTAATCATGTTTATTATACATTAAATTGTCCTTGTGGTTTCAGTCACATCCATTTTTTTTTCAATAACTCATAGTCAACATATGCCAACATATAAATCATTTTCATTACTTTTATTTCAGTAACCGACTTTTATATTTATTAGAAAATGTATAAATTATTATAAATACCCTATAGGTAATTAATTAATAGTTACTGCAATTATTTTTTAGTATATTTTGTGTATTTATCTAATATTTTATACCGGGTGCGTCTCAAAAGTGGCTTGGTTTGGTTTGGTGTGGTTGTGGATTTAAAAATAAAAAGTTATTGGTGTGTAACTTTTTATTTTTCTCATATAAAAAAACGAGATTTGGTATTTTAGTATATGATATAAATTAGATTTGATTGACGTATTCAATTTTTTTCGGTCACTTCCTGTTTCGCCCGAAATGACTACAACTTTTGATTTTTAAATGACACCCTTGGTATTTTTTTAAATCATTTGACAGAAATTGACATTCTGAATAAAATGACATAGCATATTATGTCAACTTTTGATATTTTCAATTAAAAATATAGCATTTTAAAACTTAATTTAGAGTGCTATGGCCATAAATGTAACGACAATTTGACTCGAAATACCAAGCGTGTGGTACCAAATTATTCGTAAAACAATTCTTTTTCTAAATATGCTAATCATCAAATCTATATTTCCAAGGCTTCTTGATTAAAAATTAGTGTTTTTAACACAGCCATATGGTTAGGCATTCTAGATTTCTTTAAATGTCGATCTTACGATTTTTTTAAAGCGAGAATGTCAAAATTTAACATATGATATGTTATTCTATTCAGTGTCATTTTCTATCGAATAAAGTAAAAAAATACTGACGGGGCCATTTAAAAATCAAAAGTTGTAGTCATTTCCGGTGAAACAGGAAGTGACCAAAAACAAATGAATACGTCAATCAATCCTAATTTTTGTCATATACTAACATACTAAATCTCGTTTTTTTTGTCTGAAAAATTAAAAAAAAAGTTATGAGGGTGAGCCATTTTCGAGACGCACCCGGTATATAACCACTAGATTAACTATTTGACTAACAAGTTCTTCAAAAAAACCTAGCCTAACCTAACCAAATCATCCTTGTATTTGACCTACAGGAAAATAAAATAAATAGGTACAACTGTATTGTAACAAATTATTTGCGCTCCCATATTTATAATTATGTTTACTGTTAGTTTAAACAAATTAAATCAGAATATAAATAAAATATATTCATTTGAAACATCAGCAAAAAAGCGTAAATAATATACATATGTTTAATTTTGCTTTCTATCAGAGGTGGTAGGTTATATAGTTTACCATTAGATTGTCAGTTGTCATTAAAACATTATTCCTTAATATCTTAAATAAACCCTTTTTTAATTTAAACATTTTTAAAAATGAAAAAGAAATTATTACAAAATATGGCTTTTATGGCATGTTTGAAGACATTTCATATGTTGTTTGATTTTATATTCTCGGTAAGTGTCTGTATTTTTTTTAATATATTTTGTAATTTTTTTTTATTGTTAAAATGTCATAATTATCTATTAATAAAATAATCTTATTATTACTATTAACGTATTAATATTTTATATTTGAGTTTCTTACTATTTGCTTTACTGTCAGATAGGTGGCTACATTATGAAATTTGATATACAGGGTTTTTTTATAGGTAAAATAATTCATATACAAGGTGTATATTTGTATATGAATATCGCAGTAGTAATAGAAATATTAAGTTTGTATTGAAAATTAATTTTTTTTCGGATATCTTCGGCAGTAATCGGATTTTTTTAGATTTAAAATCATGACATAAGATTCAACAAGGCGCAATTTTTTTCTAATTTAAACCATTTGTAGATCCCTGTACGTATGTAATCTTATTTAGGACAGCGTATATATTATATCAATTTTTATTTGAAAAATTTGATGTTTTGCCGATGTTTCGAGAAAAGCTCATTTCTCAATGTCAAGGCAATGTTTACTGTACGATATTGAGTGAAGCATATTGCCTTTAATACTTATGTCTTATTATAAAGTAAACTGAGTTAATTAGTTTTCTTTTTTCCATAGCAACTGTTAAAATTGCCTTATATCAAAAAATAGTAGATAAAATAGTACCTACTTTAATCGCAAGGGTAGATTAAATGATATTTTAACAGTGAGGATAGGTTAAAAACTTTATTTCTTCTCGCACGTTTTTTAATTGCTTCCATTTTTGAAAATTTTTGTATTCCTTATTATAAGTTATTCGGGATTTAAATGGAAGTAGTTTGGATATGGCGTTTGTCGCCTCAGTCTTAATATCTGTTGGTAATTTACTTATTTCGTTTTGAGCCATTTCTGGCTCCAATTCAATCAGCAATCATCAACTCAAAACTGACAACTAAAAAGACAGCTTTATTTATTTCTCAAATTACATAGAAACCAATGCCAACTCAGCACAATATTTTTTCTACTCGTAATAAATTCCTTGAAATAATAATTTCTGAATATTTTTTAAAACGTAACTCGCTATGGAAAAAAATATTCTTTTAAGTATACACGACGATAAAATTCCATTATCTTCTCTAAAATACCATTTTATCGTCTTGTATAAAAAATAACTAGTATTGAAACAGAAGAACATATTTTTTTATATAGTAATTTCCACAACTAAAGTTTGTGACTATACTTATATGAAATTCTTTATAAATAACCATACGTAAAATTTTACTGTTTCTAGGTTTCTGGTATTGCTATTTTGGCCATTGGAATATGGATGGAAGTGGAACTGTATAAATACATGGAAATGAGTACCGCATTTAGTGGTACGGCACCCTATGTTCTGATTGGTACAGGATCGTTTATCATACTCATTGGTTCTTTGGCTTGTTGTTGTACTGTAAAAGGCCAACCTGTACTTCTCTATGTGGTAAGTACCCAGAAAAGAGGACATACTATAACTGGCTAAATTGCCAATATATCTAAAAATAAAGTTTATGAATTATCTCTAGTCAAAGTTCTTTAATTCTACCGATCATCAAAATTTTAAGATATTTTAAGTGGCGAATTGTTCAGCTGTTTCCAGTAAAAATATATCTCATAAAATATAAAACAAGTAAATTAAGTTAAAAGAGAACTGAGATGAAAAAATTCACAGATTTTGCAACATGCGCAACCATCATAGGCGTATTGAAAATACCAGACACAAGTCGGCGGTTGCCGGCAATCACCTGTTTTTTTACATTTTATATTCACTTGTGACGTCATTTGGAAGAGCTCAATAGAAATATAAAAGAACTAAACCTTGTTTGGAAAGCACTTTGATATTCGTGACGTCAGCACTCCGGCAGTCTAACGTAAACGTATCGCTAATCGCCATTCACAAATATATTCCAGATACGTATAATGAACAAGTAAACCGTTCGCAACGCAATTTGATTTTTATCGTAATGGCTTTTTTGTAAAAGTGAAGAATTTAGTTAGGAAATTATTAATGATGGAGATGAACGTGTGCGGATTCGTGAATGGTCACGATCACGGTCACGACACTATGACGGGCTCCTACTCACGTAGGAGGCCGAATTATGCAAAAAAGGGGGTCAGTTTAGATTAAGTTTAGATTAGGTCTATGTTTTTATTAATGCAAAACCAACTAAAACCAAATTCTAATCTAACCTAAACTCACTCCCTCTTTTGCATATTTCGGGCTATTACCTGGGTATTCCTAGGTTTAACCAATATTCGAACTTAAGATGTAATTTACGGATGGCTCATAAAATTTAAATTCGCCGTACAAAAAAATTACTTTTCACCAATTTTCACAATAAAAATTAAAAGTTATAAATCATAATATTTTTTTATAGAAATGATGAAGAAATAAGGGTGAACGGATGAGAAATAAGGGTGAACGGGGTGCCGGTAGACCAAGAAGATACTTGGAATGTAAATGTTAATTTATACTCGAATTGAGTTGCCTCACAGTACCTATAGGCATATTTTGAACCCCTACCGTGCATATTTACTGTAGATAAAAATAAATTAAAATATAATTGGCTTCAACGATAATTTAGTTTGCAGCTTCTTTTCATCATACCTAATAAAAAACCATCACAACCACTACTCATAGTATGTACCTATGTATTTTTAAACATTATTATGAGATTTAAGATACATAGGTGCCCATAATATGAGTACCGGTATTGACGGTTTCATCATAACGGATTTTGTTATGATGAAAATAAGCAGCAAAATATATTATCGATTGGCAACAACTACATCTATAGGGAAATTAAAATAACTTTGGTTGCACATCATAATACGACCACCAGCAAACTCCATAAGACGACGCATGGTGTCATTGATGACGTGCTCCCAAAGTTGTTTTAATTTCCCTACACTTAGTTTACAAAGTTTACATTCAGTATGTCCAATTAATATAGAACATTATACCTATGCATATTTTTAAAAATTTGCTACCATTATATTTTGATAGTTGAGTTTTTGAAATGATTTGTTAGCTTCTTAAACAAAACAGACCCATAATAATTCAAATCTTTATCATTCAAAACTTTCAAGAATTATGAAGTAATCTCACGTCAAATTTTTTTAAAATTATTGCATGCCTTAAGTATTTGCAAAGTTAACAAAAATATATCTTTGCATACCTTGCAATAAATATATTTGGTCCAATTTATCAGTTCTATATCATATCCGAAATTCAGATTATGTATGACACAACAAAGAGTTAAAGTGCAACGTGAACAACAAAAAAAAATGGCAAGTAAAAAAAATTGTAACGTCTTAATTACTAATTACAGAGTCCTTCCCTTGAGTTCTCCTGCCTAAAATCTATATTGTCTTCTCTAAAATTTTAAATATAAATGATTAAAACTCATACAAGTTTACCACAATTTAAACTTAAGATAATTATTTAATTATTAAAATCCATAATTATATTAAAATATAACACTTACGAAGTTAATAAATATTAACTATTTCTACTTAATCATTTAATAATTCTGATAAAAACACGCTTGATTTTTTATTTTAGATATCATACGGGCTATAATCATTAATAGGACTACATTAACAATACTTAAATAAAAATTTATTTGAAGGAATGCTACTGTATTACAATAATTGTAAAACAACTTATGTAATAATAACTCGGAATAATTGTTAAAAACTGCTCATCGCGTTATCGATGTCTAGGATATGTTTAGGTATAGTTTGATTTCAGATAATGCAGATTTTAATGTGCCATTTGTGGGTTTTTTATTGGAGTTTTTTTGCATATTTGGTATATTCTATAAAGGGATTTTAAGTACTCCTGTCCATTTTTCAATTATTAAAGTGCCTATTTAGATACATTTAAAATTAATTAATTAGTGTATAGTATTTGTATTATGAGTTTTTTTTTATTTTTTATGAAATGTATTTTTTCCCATTAAAATAAACATAGCTTACTAAATCACTAGCTAGCCATTTTTAAATACAGGTCGTTAATTAAGTATCTGGCCAAACTTCAGGAGGTGATTCTTTGAGTGTTTTTAAGGTAAAAAGTTCATATAAACATGTGTCCGGAAATGTATAATTTTAAAGATACAGGGTGTCAAGGTGTTTTCTAATAGACCTTTTTTTATTAATATCTCAAAGATCCGTTCGCCGATTTTGTTGAAATTTCGCCGTGTTGTGAACTTTCATAAGTTAGTACTAATTAAATGATAATTATTATTTACAACAATATTCAAACAATAAAAATTTATCCCAATAAATATTTGGCAACGCCTTGGCTTCATTTGTTTTTACGCCTGTTGGCGGTGGATACCATGCAAGCTTTTTCTTTGTCCTAAGTTGTTAATTAAACAAATAATAATCATAAAAAATATAAGTCCTAATAACCTAAATTTTAGAAAAATGTATCAGCAGATCCGATGAGACCCGAGTTATTATGTTTTGGAACCTCATGATTTAATTAATTATTCCCTTTAATGCATTTACCTATCTATCCTACGCGCCGAGAAAAAATATTGCATTAGTCTAAATTTATTATTTATGTGAGTCCGCTCTTTCATGTATAATTTGCCCCTTGCTTCGCATACAGAAAGAGTTAGATTAAAATAGTCAAATTGTACCTTACAATCCATATGCCTTGACGCATAATCATAATATTGGCTTTTTTTATCCGCCGACCCATACTAAACATCCATATCCATAAAATAGTTGGCCCACTGATAAGACCTCATTTCCGGCATCGGCCCTCGAACGTCCTTGCAACGCCGGCTAAACTATTACGTGTTGACAAGTTGATGATTAGGCAGGTTATTGAACTCGGCCGTACCACATCGCATCTAGCATGTCGCTTTTTCAAAGATGGGTCCCATATAAACGCGCCCAGAAGTATTTTCAATACTAAAATAGCAGCCCGTAATCAGAGCGTTTATCGATATTTAAGGCGTTGTTAATAGATAATTCACTTCGTGTAATTTTTCTCCGCATGGATGAAGATGGGGCTTGCTCAGATATTCCGAACTAATTACCTTGTTCATCTTAGCGCGACTTACGTTTCACTATGGACGAGTTCAACGGTCTGTATTTATGAACGTCTGTCTATTTTATTTATATTCTTCATCTGTAGAAATTTGAAAAATAAATAAGAAAATTTTGAGTTAAAATGGTATAGATAAAGCGGAACTCAAGAATTTGGAAGGCTACATCCGTAACCTGGAATGGGAACTCTCCAGCAGTCTAAGACACTCGAAGAAGTTTCTCAGGAGTTACAACCGAGAAAAATCAAAGATTCTTCTTGATTTAAGTGAGAACAATCTCCGGATTGTGATGGGATACCTAAGACGATACTGTGTTCTAAATGAACAGCTTAATGGTTTGAAGCTAAAAGACAATGGTGATTACAGTACGTCTGTTCGTTCTGTAGCTACGGGTTATCCGTGAGAGGGGAAACGATATTCTCTCCATGTTTTTCGTAAAAAATTAGACGCCGCGTCCCATCAATAAAATGAGTGGGCGGAGCGATTTGCGGTGACGCACTCGTCAAGTCGACGTATAAAATACGACGAATTTCTCATGCTGACATAAATGTGAGAAAATTTTATCCAGTTAGTATGTTAATGGAAATTCTTGCTTTGCTTTATCATCACCATTACAAATGATTAATTCGGCGCGAAGTCGCGGGTACACGCTAGTTCTTTATAACCAAGATATTACTTTATTTGTAGTATGGCGCATTCCTGGCTATAGTCTTTGTCCTGGAACTGGGAGCTGGGATTTCCATCTTTGCCTACCGAACCAAACTGACGGAAGGTTTCGATAAAGGTCTGACCAGAGCCATGATGAACTACCACAATGCCAACAGTTCCCAAGTTTCGTCCGATCTTGACTTGATCCAAAGTACGGTAAGTAAAATAGTTATTTATGTAACAAGTTGCGAAATAAATGTGTTTTAAGCACGGGACGCAAAACGGGACGTCGAGTGCTTAAAACACACTTTTCGCAACGAATTTCATACAAGATTTTTTGTGAAAGCGGATAATTTGAGATTTTCATGCTATTATTATTATCTATTTTTAAACATTTTTTAAAATGTTCTGGTAATCGGTTTCTAAGGCATTGCTTATGCATTATTTAATGATAAAGTTCTGTCAGGTTTAAACGTCGCAGTATTTCCTACAAAGTTTGTGAAAAAATGAATGACAGACGAGTCCTTGGATATTCAACAAGCTGCTGAAACTGCGCTATCCACGTTAGTGCCCAAAAAGTCGAAAAACTTATACGAGACCACCTACAACAACTTTGAAACCTAGACAACTCTGTGGTGTAAATATTCGATGCTCCGCACTATGATTTACCTGAACAGAAACGTAGATATTAGCAAATTCACAAATCTTATTGCATTTTTAAACAGAAAAGCTACCGGATATCAGGCAAATAAATTAAAAGTATTTACAAAACTGGAAAGAGAACGCTTTATGAAAGAAGTCGATGACAAAGAATTCCTGTTAGCTAAAGTTGTTTTAATCGTTGGAGTATTTATAGGAGGGAAGAAATCACGTTTTTGACCGTAGATGCCAATAAATATTGTAAGTCATTTATTAGTGTGAAAATTCCGAACACAAAAACTCATTTTCCAAGAATGTTTACGATTACTGAGGGACCAATAGATGGTATCAATTTCTTACATGTATTTCGTAAGTACGCAAAACTTCGACCACTCAATGTGACACATCAGCGATTTTTCTTGATGTATCGAAAAAATCAATGCTGTACCCTGCCAGTTGGAATCAATACAATTGGAGGTATGTCAAAAAAGATAGCGGAGTTTCTTGGACTCTCCAACGCCATTGAATACACTGGTCATTGTTTCCGGCGCAGCTCTGCAACAATGCTGGCAGATTCAGGAGAGGACATAACAGTTTTAAAGCGACATGGAGGTTGGCGATCAAGCTCGGTTGCTGAAGGTTTCATTGAAAATTCAATTGAACAGAAAATCGAAATAGCAAAAAGAATCATGGGACAGAAAGATACGCCAAATAAGAAATTAAAAGCAGTTCACGTAGAAGCAGAAGCTACCAGCATTGCCAGTACAAGAAATTTACTTATTCCGACTCCTACAACTTGCATTTCTCTTAGAGACGAAAAGTTGGATGCCTCTTGTATTCACTTTAATAATTTAAATAATTGTACCTTTAAGATTTATAATAAATATTTTCATTGTTTCTAACGTTTCATTTTTTACCTTTAGGCACTAGTTCCTAAACAAGTGTCACTTTTAGGTACTACTGCCTAAAAGAATGTCATTTTGAATCTCAAAAAAATAACTGTCAATTTCGAAACGCTTTCACAAAAAACAATTTGTATTCAGAATGTTTCAGACTAAAATGCGTAAAAAGCGTGTTAGAACTCTTCACAATTTCTTTCTGTAATAAATTCCAGCTGCACTGTTGCGGAAATCATAAGGCCAGCGACTGGCTCGAGCTCGAGCTGCCTCACGCTCTGCCAATCCCGCCATCTTGCTGCATCAAGGACGGCTGCAACACGGAAGTGGACAGAGGAGAAATTTACACCCAGGTGGGTACTAATGCGCCATCATTATCAATATCATTGAATTATTAATTCAATGATCAAAATTAAGCTTTATAGTAGTTTTTTTTCTAATTTTCAATAGCAACTGTTAAAATTGCCTTTATATATCTATCAAAAATAGTAGATAAAATAGTACTTTAACCGCAAGGGCAGATTAAATGATACTTTAACAGCGAGGATAGGTTAAAAACTTTGTTTCTTCTCGCACGTTTTTTAATTGCTTCCATTTTTGAAAATTGTTGAAAAGTTATTCAGGATTTAAATGGAAATAGTTTAGATATGGCGTTTGTCACCTCAGCCTGAATATCTGTTGGTAATTTACTTATTTCGTTTTGCGCCAATTCTGGCTCTAATTCAATCAGCAATCGACATGAAAGAGAATTAAAAAATATTGACTCAAAACTGACAACTAAAGAGACAGCTTTATTTATTTGTCAAATTACATAGAAACCAACGCCAACTCAGCACAATATTTTTTCTACTCCTAATAAATTCCTTGAAATAATAATTTCTGAATATTTTTTAAAATGTAACTCGCTATGGAAAAAAATATTGTTTTATACACGACGATAAAATTGCGTTATCGTCTCCCGAAATTAATTCACTCGCGATTTCATCGCTTGTGTAATCATGACTATCATGATTTCATCGCATTTTGTAATCATGACTTCAATGCTCTCGCACCTAGCTTTTTCAAAGACCGATACGTTTGAGACATGGTGGTACCATTTGATTCATAAGAGTTGTCTAAGGTGTCTCTGTTACAACTTGTTTAATGCGTTCATGTGTCGGCGGTACGGCACCCAGGTTTCGCTTCCATATAACATGGTGGGGAATATTACAGCTCGGTACACTGCAAGTTTCGTTTTTGTGCTCAAGTCATGGTTGTAGAAAACCCTGTCTTTTAATTTCCAGAATGCTCTCGAGGCACTGCTAATCCTGTGTTGAATTTCAGAGTCGATATTGGCCTTTTCCGAAATCAAACTGCTGAGGTAATTGAATTCCGGTACATATTCCAATAGTTCTTTTCCGATTTTTATAGCATTGTTGTGATCTTCCGGGGAATGCAAATGATTTTAGTCTTATCGATGTTCAGCTTAGGTTCCAAAGCCTCGTATGCCCAGGTATATGTGTTCAACATTTCTTGTAATTGCTGTATCGTTTTTGCAACTAGAGCGCAATCATCAGCGTATTGATGTTCTGTGATGAATTTTATACGTATTTCGCCCTGAGTCTTTTAATGTTTAACAGACCACCGTCGTATCTGTGTCTAATGTCCAATCCTCTTTCCTGCAGTTTGTTGTCCACTATTCCACTATAATGGAGAGCGCTGCCATGAATATGTTGAATAGGAGAGACGCTAAGACACATCCCTGCCTAACTCCTGTATTTGTTAGGAAGGGATCGCTCAGTGACACTCTTGACTTGTTGTTATATAGGCTTTTACACACTGTAAGAAATTTATTGGGTACTCCGAACTTTTTCATAATTGCTCAAAGTGCATCTCTGTTCACAGAGTCGAAGGCTTTTTTAGGTCGATGAATGTAACATAAAGTTTACTCTGCTGCTCTTTTACATTTTCCTGTAGTTGGCGGACGGAGAATATGGAATCGACGTTGCCGCGGTTCGTGCGAAAACTCGTTTTTTTATATGTGGGTGCAGGCGGTTTGACATAATGTTTGCAAGAATTTTTTCTCCGATAGCCAGTAGTGAAATTCCCCGGTAGTTTTCGCAGTCTGATGCACTTCCTTTGTTCTTAAATATATTCACTATATTCGCGTTGCAAATGTCCTGAGGTATATAACCAATAATTTCTTTACTTGCACACTTATAGATTCCCACCGGAATCGTGTCACAGCCAGCTGATTTGTTGTTTTTAAGCTGTTTTATGGATGCCTTTATTTCCTGTTCTGATATTGGGGTATCTAATACATCGAGGCTGTCATACTAAGGCATTGTGTTTAGTGCTTCCATATTGGGGTTGTTTTGTTGATTAAGGATATGGCTATAATTCTTTCAAGCAGTTTCTGATTTACTCTCCCAATTTTAGAAGTTCGCCATTTTGTGCCATGATTGGACAGTTTACCTTCTTGGTTGGGCCGTATACTTCTTTTACAGCCTCGAATAATTTACGATAGTCGTGATGCGTGGCGTACTCTTGAATCTGATGAGCTTTTTGTGACCACCAGTTTTCCTTTATTTGACGCAGGTTTCTTCGAAGTGTGTTGCTGGCTGCTTTAAAGTTGTCCACCAGCCTTGGATTTTGTGGATTTGCAGTGCTTTATGTGCTCTATGCTTTCATTACCTTCTATCCTTTGGTGGGCTGGCACTCAGAGTAGGAGGACTTTATTTTCTTTGCCTAATTTATTCAGCTTCTTTAGGCTTCTGTCATTTTCTTTGTCGTCATAAAATAATAAATATAAATAACTTTGTTTTTTTTATATTTTGTTTTGATTAATTAATCTTATTTTCAGGGTTGCTACAACAAAGTCATCGACTTCTTGGACGCCAACATTGGCATAGTTGCCGGAGCAGCTGTCGGCATAGCGTTCTTTCCATTGGTCGGCGTTATTCTGTCATGTTGCCTAGCCAGCATCATCAACAAAACGAAATACGAACAAATGGCATAAACAAATAGGCACTAATTCATTATTCTATCCATATACCTATGTCATCAACTTATTCCTCAATTATTTATAATTATGACATAGGTAAATATTCAGAACAACGTTTCTTCTACTTTGTCCTATATATCTTATATCCTTTATACATAAGAATATTTCAACTCTTAATGTATCTAACCTTTACATAGAGTAAGTATGTAGGTACAAAAAACGGCGTTATGGTAGTCACCGAAATGACAAGCCCGTTCATTAAAAAAATGTCGAGAATGCATTTTTATTGGGAGTTAAGATTAGATTATTTTGTACTATACAGGGTGAGTCTTAAATAAGTGCAAATATTTTCAGGGCTGGAAGATCTCGATAAAAATATTTTCTCTTCACCGCTTTTGATTTAAGTCCAAAATAACGGAGTTGTTTAAGTTTGACAGGCTTGTTTATTAAAAAAAAATGTCGAGGTATTATTATTACGAGTTAAGATTACACTTTTTATACTTGATAAACATAAACCTTTTTATATATAAAATTTTATAAATTAGTTGCAAACCCGTACAAAATAATTATTGTCGATAGTCATTTCTGTGCTTACCTCGACGCCGTTTATTTTTTACCATACTGTATTTTCAGAAAGAAGTACGTATCTAAGTAGTTATTATTATCTTTCTATAAATTCTATTTATTCTAACAACTTTGAACTACTATACACCTATACAGGGTGAACCATTATGCCGAGAAAGGTCTAATTTTAAATTAGACTTAGTTGGACACAATGTTAGCGTAGTTTTTGGGTTGGTAAACCTACAACTATATACTACTTTTCTTAATGTGGTTACTAAATCTTATGAAAAAAATTAGTTCTTTTTTAGAACAGTGTTTTACCCTGTATATATACGCTCATTTTATAGCGATTTTTAATCATAATAGTATAGAAAAAAATATATGAAAATGATATTTTTTCTTGAAATTTATTTGTAGTATATATTTACTGTTAAAGAAAAGTGATAATATATTATACTGTAAATATTGTTTTTGAAAAACAACAAAAATATTTTTTATTAAATGTATTATGTGTCATTGAATAATATATCAAATATCACAGAAAAAATATATTATATCACGCACATTTATATATCAAGATGCCTAAAAATTAAGAAAAAAACAAATTAAATTAACAAAAAGGCTATGAGTATTTGACTGTTTTAATATATAGGTAGGAATATAATATTATGTATATGTATAAAAAACACTGTGAAAAATTAAAAAAAGCTTTATTCTAAATTAATGGTGTTATTTATTGTCCTATTTTTTTATTGGAATGTTCCATAACTTGTTTCTCTTTCTTTGGTAAGTAGAATGCCGTGAGTATCGGAATTCTAAAAAAATGTAAGAAACATTTAAATAAATATTTTCATCTTCAGAGAAATAAGTAAACCAAGAGGCGTTTCAAAATGCTTGTTTACAAACATCACGTTTGAATTTCTATCTTGCAATGTTGCTATATTTTAGAGGAATATTAGTTGAAGCAATAATCAAACAAAGTTAAATATAATATCTTGATAATTTGGCAATATACTGGATGGTTTCTCAAAACTGGCCCTTTATTATAATTTCAGATAAAAAAAAACGAAATATGGTATGGTTAGGTTAGGTTAGGTATTGTTTGCCGTATTCAATTGTTTTCGGTCACTTCTTGTTTCAATGAGTACAACTTTTGATTTTTAAATGGCACCTTTGGTATTTTTTTATTTTATTCGATAGAAAATTGACACTCTCAATAGAATGACATATCACATGTCAACTTTCAACATTTTCGCTTAAAAAATCGTATATTAAATTTCAATCTAGAGTGCCATGGCTGTGTTAAAAACACTAATTTTTGATCAAGGGGCCTTGGAAAAATAGATTTGATTTTCCAATGTGTTTTGTACCTTCTCCTGGCCTGTTAAAAGATGCCCAAATCGTATTTTTAATCATATCGCAATTTTTTCAAACGGAACAAGAGGAATTTGCACTACACACTTGGTATTTTGAGCCAAATTGTCGTTATGAACCGCATTTTACAATTTCAAATAAACCATATACAAAAGTGTCAAAAGTTGACATATTATGATATCTAATAATTCTATTCAGAGAAATTTCTATTCTATCGAATGAAGTAAAACAATACAGAGGGTGTTATTTAAAAATGAAAAGTTGTAGTAATTTCCGGTGAAACAGGAAGTGACCGAAAACAATTGAATAGTACGTCAATCAATCCTAATTTATGTCATATAGCAATATATCAAATCTCGTTTTTTAATCTGAAAAAATAAAAAAAGTTGTAGGGGTGAGCCACTTTTGAGAAACATCCGGTAGATAGTACGGGTATATTAAATTTATTGAAACTAAAATCCAGAATAAAATACAGTATACAGTACCTGGTTCTGAGAATTTAAACAATTTTTTTATTATTCAAAAATAAACAGTAAATAAAAAATGCTTTTCTCTTATCGAGATCTACCAGCTCTGAATATATGTGCACTTATTTAAGACTCACTCTATATAGATAAAGATAATTTTGCATTTTTATTAATAAATAAATTTTAATGTTTACATGAATATAATAACTAAGCTTGATGATTCTTTATCAGGTATTGTTACATATAAACTATTGCTAATCAAAATAAATTACTTTATTACGACATTTGAACAAAACTTGCACTTAAAGTACTACAAGTACTTACACCTAGTTACTAAAACATCAAAATATCGAGGTATTCGAGAATCTAAGTACTTTTTTTCTATACCTATCTACTATAAATCGTGTCAACTAACATCAGTTTGTCCTGGTCTGTATACATCTCTGATTTCGACTGAATTTCCCAAATCATCCCTTTTGACTACTTCATTCGTGTCATTCTTCAACAGTTTTGGACCAAAAACTTCCACGAATATCGCCATAGGTGGAGCGGTGAGTACGATGGACAGTATGCAGATCATCATTACTTTTTCTGCATAAACGTATTCATCCGATTTGGTGTCGAGTACCAAACCGATCAGTACTGGAGCCAAAGCAGCCTAAAAATTAGATTTTTTTTGCAGTCAGAAATAAAAACAAGCATTTCATAATATGCAAAGCAAGCAACTCCAATTTAGTTTTTAGCTTTCTTTTTTTTACTATCTACGATTTTTTTTCTTAATGATTTTGATGATAATGCCAGTGGTTCATTTATTTGTGGGCGTAAAGCTTGATTTTCATGCATCCGTTATCCGACGATAAGATGATACGATATTAATTTTACTGGTTGAATTTAAAGACTTCGATTGGTTAAAAAATTACGCAGTTTTTAAATTTATTGAATTTTCATGCCTTCGTTCATCGGATATACGATTTGCTGATGATTGGTGTCATTTTATATTTTCATTTCCATAAGGATTTCGCTGTTTTACTTGTAGTCTAAGAGCTAGCAACTTTTTCGAGGATGAATTTTAAGAAAGCTTTTTTTTTAATATATCTTTTGCTATGCTCCTGAACAGCGTGCGTATCGTCTGGCTGCCGGTAGACGTTGCGTTCCCTACTGTGCATCTTATCTGTATTGAACATCTATTCACTATTGCGCATCACAAATTCGCCCTGTATTTCTGGAACTAAGGAGGTTAGGACAAACATAAGTGTAGCATATTTAGTTTCATAAATAAGGAGCAAAGTAATGTGAAATCGCATCATTGTATCTCTTCTGATAAACGAGACATTCCATAAAACACACGAAATTTTTATGACCAATCCTTTTTAGAATAAAATGTATTAATGTTTTTTTATGATTATGAAAAAACACATTTTGATATTTTGATTCTGAAGCTAGTAAAAAACAAATATTAAAACGAATTTACCTGAACAGTGGCTTTCGTAGACATGGCTACTGCACAAAATAATTTTTCCTTATAGTTCATAGCAGATCCGTAATCCAAAATGATTGTTACTATTACCCTTATAAATAATGCAGCCAATAATATTCCAGAACCTGTGAAAAATAAGCAGACCTTAATGCCAATTGAGGAATAGAAAAATCTTTTGTCTGTCGCTTTTTTAAACTTACCTATAAGCATGACATTCCCATCCAACTGAGTAATCCTGACCTGAGCACCGGTTATAGCGAACAAAACAGGTTCGAATATGAACCAGAGGATTCTGAAGCTAATAGCTACAGGGTTGTCTCCCAGTTTCCAGCCTTGCTTGGTCCAGTATAGGACCGACACGAATGGGGCTACTACACAGGCCAGGGGACCTGCTCCTCCAAATCCAACAGCGTCACTGGCGAATACTGACAAAATACCTCCAGCAAATTGTAGAAATATTCTAAGAGATGCCTAAAAAAGAAGTAACTATTGTAACGGACCAACTTAAACATTACAAAAAAGACAAATTTTGCTCTAACATATTTTTTTGTAATGGAACACCCTATACAGGATGAGTCTTAAATAAGTCCAAATATTTTCAGGGTTGGTAGATCTCGATAAAAAAACAACATATTTTCTCTTCACTGTTTCAAATAAGTCCAAAATAACTGAGTTATTTTACTTTAAAAATTAAAAGAAAACATAATTTTTTGCTTAAATTTTGAGAACCACTGGATTTTTTCTGGATAAATTTAATCTACTACCTATGTTGCGATATTATAGATTATGTTTTTTGAATAAAAACTAGAATGTAGAATGTTTAGGAGGGGAGTTAATCACCGCGACCTTATAGATCTATTGTGTGTTCCCCTTTCTTGAGTTATAACGAGTTATAACTCATCATAGTCTCAGGGCTTTAAGAAAAGCCAGTATCTGAGACGGATCCACAGAGGCCAGCTCTCCATCCTCGACATCAGACGTACCAAGGTTCATGGCACAAATGGTCGTCGTCTCGGCGCACTCAGTGATAAGGTGTTCCGGTGTTTCCCCATTTTCCCCACAAAATCGGCATTCGCCGTCGTTTCTCAGTTTCAGCCTACTGAGGTGTTCGTTGACGAGACACTGTCCTGTTAGAAACCCCGTGACAATCCGAAGATTGTTTTTACTTAAATCAAGGAAAACCTTTGATTTTTCTCGGTCATAAGTTCTAAGGAACTTTTTCGAGTGTCTTAGACCGTTGGTTGAGATTCTTCAGTTCCGCTTTCAGTTGGTTCCCGTTTGGAAAACAGAACGGTTCTGGTCCAGTTAGTGTAGTGTTCGCTCCTTTTCTAGCTAGATCATTTGCTTTTTCATTGCCTTCTATCCCTTGGTGAGCAGGCACCCAGAGTAGGAGGACTTTATTTTCTTTGCCTAATTTATTGAGCTTCTCTAGGCATTCTTTGACCAACTTCGAATTGATGGTTACTGAGTTGATCGCGTTAAGTGCTGCTTGACTATCGGATAGGATGGCAATTTCCTGTTTTCGATAGTTCCTATCCAAGATAAATTGTACGCATCTTTCGATAGCGCAAATTTCTGCCTGAAGGATACTGGGGTAGGTGCCCATTGGTTCGGAGTATTCAGTTTTCGGCCCAAATACTCCTATCCCTGTCCCTGCTTTGGTTTTGGAAGCATCAGTATACCACGTGATGGTATGGTCTTTTATATGCTGAGTAAGCGTTTCTTTCTTCCAATCCTTTTTATTACTCAATACTACAGTGAGGTGTTTCTCAAAGTTGTAAATTCTTGGTATGTCATCCACTGGGAGTTGGAGAAGTGGAATTTTCTTTTTGAGGGTGTTCCAAGCCCCTGACCTGAAAATTCTCCCAGTACTGTTTCCGTCAATGACCATTCTAATCATTGTCGCATTGGCATAACTACCGACGACAATATGCAGTGGTGTTAGGTCTAGAATGACCTCCATTGCTGCTGTTGGACATGTTCTCATGGCACCTGTGATGCAGATACATGCCAGTCTCTGTACTTTGCACAGGGTTTGCCTTGCTGTACGTTGCTCTAGTTTTGTATACCAAGCAACTGCTCCATAAGTAATCATGGGTCTTACTATCATGGTATACATCCAGCGCAAAATGTTAGGGGCGCAGCCCCACCTATTTCCCGCCAGTCTTCTGCATATCATGAGAGCCTTTGTGGCTTTGCTGGTAATGTTCTTAATATGCCTGTTCCAGAGAAGTTTACTATCCAGGGTTATTCCCAGATATTTCACTTCCTGTGATGGCAGTATTTCCTTTCCATCTAGATGGATTCTTTTCAAGTTTTTCAAACTTCGCTTTCTGGTGAATGGCACTACTGCGGTTTTATCTGAGTTAATACTCAGCCCGACAGTCCTGCACCATCTCTCAGCGATGCGGAATCCTCTTTGGATAATATCACACAGGGTGCCTTCATGTTTCCCCCGTGCAATGATGACTATGTCATCTGCGTACCCTATGCAGTGTATTCCCGCTAGAGTTAATTCTTCCAGTAGTTCATCTACTACCAAGCTCCACAGTAGGGGGGAGGTCACTCCACCTTGTGGAGTTCCTTGCGTTGTCTTAACAACTACAGTTTTGGTACCTATCTCAGCCTCTGCTGTTCGTGTTGTGAGCATTTTCCAAAACCAGCGAATTATAGTACTGTTCACCCCTCTTGTTTCAAGAGATCGCTTGACCACCTTCTGAGGTATATTGTCAAACGCCCCTGCAATGTCCAAGAAGGCACAAAGTACTGTTTCTTTCCTATCCAGACTTGCCTTTATTAGCTCAGTTAACTGGTACAGAGCAATTTCTGTGGATCTGCCCGCTCTATATGCATGCTGACTATCCTGCAGTGGTTTAACCTGTAGATGATTTACTCTAATATGGTTGTCCACTACTTTCTCCATCGTTTTTAATATGAACGATGTGAAACTAATAGGCCTAAATGATTTGGGGTTAGCCCAGTCAGTTTTGCCTATTTTGGGTATGAAGATGACTTTCGCTCATCTCCAGATGGTTGGTATATATCCCATCGCTAAGCTGCTTCTTGTAATGTTTAATAGATGGAGTGTAGCTATTTCCTGACCCTTCTTTAGAAGGGTAGTCGCCGTTGGCTGCAAAATCGCGCGAGCTCCTCTACTTCCGGAGGCGGTGTCTGCCCATCACCCGGAAAGTATGCAGAGGCAATCACGATATTTTTGCTACAATCCTCGATATTAAGTTGAACCATGATTGGAACAAGATCTCGGGTTGTAAATTCTGAAACACATGTGTAGTTAATGTTGTTTCTTATAAGAATACAGGCTCGGGGAAATTCCTGCGTGTTATCATATATTACACTGGAATTTTTTCCAGACAACCCTTTAATTTGTCCCTGGTACACCCAGGGTTCCTGGGCTAGTACCATTACATATTGGTTTTTCTCAAAGAGTCTTGTGATTGTGGCGGAAGACCCTTTTGCATGGTGCAGGTGTATTTGGGATATCCCATGCATCAGGTTTCTGGGGTAGGTAAGGATCCCCATGAATAAAAACTAAAAAAAAACTCAAAATTTTCAAAACTTTTTTAGCAAAAAAAACTCATAGACGTGTTTCAGGGGTCGAAAGTAGCCCTAAAAATATTTGCACTTATTTAAGACTCACCCCGTATATTAATTATTGATTTTCAAATTCTAGGAAATAAAACTGAATTAAATAAAAATGCATATGACTAAAACGTAAACTTTTTAACATATTCAGCATTTTCTAAAAATGAAGTACACATTTTAAATTTTAGTAGAAGCTACCTACATTGTAATTTACCTTGTGCAGTTAAAATAAAACAAAAAGTCATACAGGGCGAGAAAAGAGTCGATGAGAAATTAATATCAAACATTGGTCTCTTTTAAAAGCAATTACACTTTCATTTTAAATGGAACACCCAGTATATTATTCCGACATTCAATGGAGAATTCATGTCTCTTCAAAATACTATTAAGGTTGCCTATCCTTTAGATGAAGACTTTTCTAGATTTTATTTCTTTAATAGAATCAAAAAATCAATTAATACTACCGGGTGCGTCTCAAAAGTGGCTCACCCCCTATAACTTTTTTATTTTTTCAGTTAAAGAAAACGAGATTTGGTATGTTAGTATATGACATAAATTAGGGTTGACTGACGCATTCAATTATTTTCGGTCACTTCCTGTTTCACCGGAAATAACTACAACTTTTGATTTTTAAATGGAATTCTCGGTATTTTTTTACTTTATTCTAGAGAAAATAACACTCTCATATCATATGTGTGTTTTGATATTTTCGCATATGGTTTATTTGAAATTATAACTTGCGGTTCAAACATTTGACTCAAAATACCAAGTGTGTGGTATCAAATTATTCTTAAAAAATGCTTTTCCGAAATATGCTAATGAGCCACCCTCGTTCCATTTGAAAAAAAATGAGATATGATTGAAAATACGATTTGAGCATTTTCTAACTGGCCAGGATAAGACACTGAAAACATTAGATGATCAAATCTATTTTTCCAAGGCTCCTTGATTAAGAATTAGTGTTTTTAACATGGCCATGGAATGGATATGAATGTCAAAAGTTTACATATATGTATATAATATAGATATGCCATTCTATTCAGAATGTAATTTTCTATCAAATTAAGTCAAAAAATACCGAGGATGCCCTTTAAAAATCAAAAGCTGTAGTCATTTCCGGTGAAACGGGAAGTAACCAAAAACAATTGAATATGTCATTCAATCCTAATTTATGTCATATACTAATATAACAAATCTCCTATTTTTATCTAAAAGTTATAGGGGAAAGCCCCTTTTAAGACGCACCCGGTATAGGGCGTTCCATTACAAAGACTTTTTTTGGAGACACTACTTACTGATATTGGATCATGACTCTCTGGGCAATATCCGCAAATATATCCCCAAACTAGTCCAAATCCAATTCCTCCCAAGATGGAGACAGGTAATTGTAGAATCAGGTTGGTAAATGTTGACGTGGAAAAAATAAAGCTCTGTATAATTCCAAAACAGACTACAGAGAAAACGTCTGATAAAGTTGTTATAGCCATTACTAGGGTTGGTATTCCTTTTGCCACTCCATAACCTTCAGCTTTTAGCCTATTATTAAAAGAAAAACAGTTGTAAAGTGTTTAATATGGAGTAAAGTTTTTACGCGTAAAAATAGTTTTTTACGTGTTTAGTTTTCTAGGAATTAAAAAATAGAGACTCAATATACCTGAGTAGGCATGGTATGGTTACTGCTGGTGATATTGCCGATATAGCAAATCCCAAAGCAAAACCATAAGTCCACGGTATATACAAAAAGTAGTAGCTCATCACACCCACTGCTGCTGTCTCAACCAACCACGGCAAGAATCCCAACTTGACAACGTCAAATTTCAACTGTTTCAACGCTCCTAAGTCCAATCCTAAGCCAGCTCTTACTAGGATTATCAGTAAAGCCACACCTCTGAAAAGTACCAGATAATAAATTTGATTATAGAGTAAGTAGAACCCTGTATATTTTCTACATATTTATGTAACGGTTAAGGTCCGATGTCAGGTTAATGTCGACATTACCCGGTTAATCACGAGAATAACACACAACAAAACAACCAAAAACATAACCAAACCCAGACATTAACCTGTTAATGTCGACATTAACCGGATATCAGGCTTTAACCGTAACATTTACATATATAGATATTAAAATAATTTTCTAATGTCTAAGTTATTATATCGGGTGGTCGGAACTGTATTCCGGAAACTTCGGCAGCATATTATGCAGATAAAAATAAGTGCCAAACTTCATTACTTCAGATAAAAATTAAAAATAGTTTTATGTACCACGGGAATTATAAAGTGTAAATAACCTCGGACAATAATTATTGTCCCTCGGGACAGTAAATTTGCCCTCGGCAATTAACAGCCTTTATAATTCCGTTGATACATAAATAACTATTTTATCAACACTTTCGAGGGCTGTAACTTCTTCAGAAAACCTCTTAGGGCATATTTTTCATAGGTACACACTATTTTTTACACCCTGTACATTAATAACTACTCATTTTTTACCTTAAGAACTTATTTATCCCCGCAAAAGTCGAATCTATATCGACAATTCCGCAATTCTGAAAAACCACCCCCACCACAAGCATCCCTATCAATCCAGGCAGATTGGTCAAGCTGACCAGCCATCCTGCTAGCATAGAACATCCACTGGCCAGGATGATTTGGAACAGGCGACCCCTAGGTGGAGCCATCGTCTCACCCACCGTAATATACAGGGTGTACCACGTGACCAATCCTATAAGTATCAAGGCCACTACTCTGGCAGTTTTTTGGTAGGTTGGACAGAAACGGTAGGGGCATATTGTTGGCCAGAAGCTTGGTTGCCAAGGTGGGTCTTCCATAACTTTGATGTTTGAACTGTAAATTTAATTTATTAATCTATGTGACACCCGCACTAAGGTGCAGGTTAAAATTTGGTAATAAATATTTCATGATCGAAATAATACAGGGTTGTTCACCACATACGATACGGAGTATTGTAGCTAAACGATTAGATTTTTACAAAGTCTAAGTTTTGGGTTTGTTGAAGGACTATTAGAGCTACAATTTAAAAATATTTTACAAGATATAGAGTGTCCTAAATAAGTAAAAAATATTATAGTTTTATTTTTTTAAATGGAACATCCTGTATATTATTCTATTTTTAGATTCTACAGTTGAAATAAAGGTAAATTTGATTAAGGTTTACACATATATATTACACAATTTTTTTACACATAAACCTTACCGTTTTTGAAATGTTTTCAATTTTATGAAATTGCAGTAAAAATTTTAAGGCTTTATTTCCCCAAGGGTATCAAAGTTTTTAATACTAAATATTTACTGAAGTTTATTTATTGATCAGATATTGTATTGCAATAATAAACAAAATACTGCCTTATACAGAGTGTCTAAAAATTTATAATAAATAATTAATAGCTTTAAACGGCAATAACTTGTTTAAAATGGAACACCCTGTATATTTTACGAGAATCAGATGCACAATTTAATTGTCTATCAAATTGTATACTATTTTTTACCTATCTCTTCAAGTTTACGTAGAAAATGCATTTTCTTATAATTTAGACCTCATTTAATACTATACCTATGAAATATTGACATTTTAGATTATTTTTAAAGATGTGACAAATTTTCAAAGACTAAGAACTACATTAATTAACTGTTTATGTTGATTATAATTGTCCCAAATATTAAAAAACTGAATTTTGTATGTGTGTTAGATAGTGTGGTAAAAAGTAACACCTTATAAATTTCATTTTTTGACGAATGCTTATTTATAACAACAGAGACGTTCATAATCATAATTTATTATTATATTGATTTCTGAGTCAAATCCATATTTGTTTAGAATAATTTGTTAAGTAAAACAATTAAGTACCAATGTAATTAACTAATTTTTCGGCGGAATTAATGGTGGTATATTTAATTGGTATACTTTTTTACAAAGATTTAAATAGTTTTCTATTTGTAAACATATGGGCTTAAAATATTATTTTTACAACCTGTACATTTTGTACATTTTTTTAAAGCAGCTTAACAGCTTTAAAAAAATCTAAAATGTCAATATTCCATGGGTATATCACTATACCCATGGAATATTGACCTTTTAGATTTTAATAAGGTCTAAATTATAAGAACATGGATTTTCTACGAAAAATTGTAGAGATAAGTAAAAAATGGTATAATACTGTTACGGATTCCGTGGGTCCACTAATTTAAACTCACGATAAAATACTTAACGAATTTATTATCTCACTTTATACACACAATAACTAACTATTTATAAAATTCCTTCACCAAATTTTCCGATTCACAATTTCCAAACGCGGTATATTCAAACTTCAAACTGGTCCAACTGCCAAGCGCGGGCTTTATATACTCTCTGGCGAGTGTTTCTGGAACGTTCTAAAGAATTCTGTAATATTCTTTTACTTTCTGGCGAATGCGTCATTTTTCTTGACACGTTGCGGTAAGGTAGGCAACCAGTAATACAGTTTAGCGCCACATACACCTTGACAATACAATTTGATAGACAATTAAATTTTGCATCTGATTCACCTAAAAAACACAGGATGTCCATTTATATTAAACAATTTATTGCCGTTTAGAGCTAGTAATTATTTAATATAAATTTTTGGACACTCTGTATTAGGTAAGTACAATTTTATTATGGCAACACAAAATCTGATTAATAAATAATCTTCAGTAAACATTTAGTATTAAAAAAATTTGATACCCTTGGAGAAATGAGACCTTAAAATTTTTACTACAATTTCATAAAATTGAAAATATTTCAAAACGGTAAGGTTTAAGTGTGATAAACCTTGATCTACCTTTATTTCAATCGTAGAATCTAAAAATAGAATAATATACAGGATGTTCTATTTAAAAAAAACAACTATTTTATTTTTACTTATTTGGGACACTCTGTATCTTGTAAAATTATTTTTAAATTGTAGCTCAAATAGTCCTTCAACGAATCCAAAACTTACAATTTGTAAAAATCTAATCGTTTAGTTACAATACTCCGTGTCGTATGTGGGGAACAACTCTGTATTAATTCAAAGTTTCAAAAGAACATTTGCTCTCGCACTACACTTACTCCTGTTCCAAAAAAGCATCGTGCGCTGACATTGGATTAAGCACTTGAACTCTTTACAAACAAACTAAATAATACCGTTTAAGTAACCAGGCTTTATAACTATTTTTAAATAAACAAATTAAATTTCGATTTAAGTACATTAATTAAACAACTAGATCGCGTGACATTTTGCGTGCAAAAATATCTCAAAATAATCTTAACCTCAAAAAATATTTATCGGTGAACTATAATCTGTCTCTATAGTACATGTGTCGATATCATTTAAATATACCTTTTGTGTTTCTGTAAAGTACTGTCCTTTTTCATCTATGTCCAGATACAGGGAGTTAAAATATAAACAAAATAATTGTATTACTTCAGTAAAAATTGATTAATAATAACTACGTCTAATTTTGGCATAACTTCTTTCCTGGAGTAGTTATAAAAAATGATAATATTGATTACCCTATAAAAGAATCTTCTTACTCTGATAAAGAAGTCTGTAAAATACTATTTTTATTTTATTTAAGATAAATTCATGTTTATTTTACAAGTAATTTAATATACAGGGCGGGCCAAATTGTAATAACAAAATAATATTATTTTTATTTACGCTTTCGAGAGCTAAATTCTTCGGCAATCATTTTAGGGGATATGTTAAGAGAAACTTTTTGTTTTATCTGCAGAAGTACCCAACAAAGTTAGATACACTATTTTTTGACACCCTGTATACAGGGTGGTCAGAACTGTATTCCGGAAATTTCGGCAGCATGTTTTCCATATAAAAATAAGTAAAAAAGTTCGTGTAATTGTATGTCCTAAAATGCTTAGTTGGTAGACGAAATAAAAATGAAACTTCTATACCCTGTATCGCCAAAACTAAGCATTTTAGAACATACATTTATACGAACTTTTTTACTTATTTTTATCTGTAGAATATGCTGTCGAAATTTCCGGAATACAGTTCGGACCACCCTGTATAAGTAATACTTATCTGTTTTGTTTGAAATAAGATATCATTTTTGTATGATTATATATCCTTACTAAAGATATAAATAAAACGTGTTTCTAGAAATGAAACTACACTGCAGTTACGGAGAATTAAAACAAATATATGTTTATTATAAACAAATACGTATATAAAAAATACAATGCACTTACCATATAATCTTAGTATAAAATAGTTTCAACTATATGCTATTAAGATTTAAAATAAACTAAAAAATACGTCTTATTGATACAAAAAACTGCAGAATACTGTTTACAAAATAAATTTATGCTAATAATTACTATCTTCTCGCCATAAAATACCTAGGTGCTAATAGTTAAGTATATTTGCTTTTTTACCATCAGACAATCTGAAAATATACAATATGCACCGTCTATCTTCACAGACGCCGTGCTTAGTTCTGTTTATTTTTGTACTGTTTTGTTTAATCACCCTGTAAATACCATACTGTTTGTATCTTTTTGTCTCAATTTTATGAAATTGCAGTAAAAATTTTAGGCTTTATTTCCCCAAGGGTATCAAAGTTTTTAATACTAAATATTTACTGAAGTTTATTTATTGATCAGATATTGTATTGCAATAATAAACAAAATACTGCCTTATACAGAGTGTCTAAAAATTTATATTAAATAATTAATAGCTTTAAACGGCAATAACTTGTTTAATTTAAATGGAACACCCTGTATATTTTACGAGAATCAGATGCACAATTTAATTGTCTATCAAATTGTATACCATTTTTTACCTATCTCTTCAAGTTTACGTAGAAAATGCATTTTCTTATAATTTAGACCTCATTTAATACTATACCCATGAAATATTGACATTTTAGATTATTTTTAAAGATGTGACAAATTTTCAAAGACTAAGAACTACATTAATTGACTGTTTATGTTGATTATAATTGACCCAAATATTAAAAAACTGAATTTTGTATGTGTGTTAGACAGTGTGGTAAAAAGTAACACCTTATAAATTTCATTTTTTGACGAATGCTTATTTATAACAACAGAGACGTTCATAATCATAATTTATTATTATATTGATTTCTGAGTCAAATCCACATTTATTTAGAATAATTTGTTAAGTAAAACAATTAAGTACCAATGTAATTAACTAATTTTTCGCCGGAATTAATGGTGGTATATTTAATTGGTATACTTTTTTACAAAGATTTAAATAGTTTTCTATTTGTAAACATATGGGCTTAAAATATTATTTTTACAACCTGTATATTTTTTTAAAGCAGCTTAACAGCTTTAAAAAAATCTAAAATGTCAATATTCCATGGGTATATCACTATACCCATGGAATATTGACCTTTTAGATTTTAATAAGGTCTAAATTGTAAGAACATGGATTTTCTATGAAAAATTGTAGAGATAAGTAAAAAATGGTATAATACTGTTACGGATTCCGTGGGTCCACTAATTTAAACTCACGATAAAATACTTAACGAATTTATTATCTCACTTTATACACACAATAACTAACTATTTATAAAATTCCTTCACCAAATTTTCCGATTCACAATTTCCAACTGCCAAGCGCGGGCTTTATATACTCTCTGGCGAGTGTTTCTGGAACGTTCTAAAGAATTCTGTAATATTCTTTTACTTTCTGGCGAATGCGTCATTTTTCTTGACACGTTGCGGTAAGGTAGGCAACCAGTAATACAGTTTAGCGCCACATACACCTTGACAATACAATTTGATAGACAATTAAATTTTGCATCTGATTCACCTAAAAAACACAGGATGTCCATTTATATTAAACAATTTATTGCCGTTTAGAGCTAGTAATTATTTAATATAAATTTTTGGACACTCTGTATTAGGTAGTACAATTTTTATTATGGCAACACAAAATCTGATTAATAAATAATCTTCAGTAAACATTTAGTATTAAAAAATTTGATACCCTTGGAGAAATGAGACCTTAAAATTTTTACTACAATTTCATAAAATTGAAAATATTTCAAAAACGGTAAGGTTTAAGTGTGATAAACCTTGATCTACCTTTATTTCAATCGTAGAATCTAAAAATAGAATAATATACAGGATGTTCTATTTAAAAAAAACAACTATTTTATTTTTTACTTATTTGGGACACTCTGTATCTTGTAAAATTATTTTTAAATTGTAGCTCAAATAGTCCTTCAACGAATCCAAAACTTACAATTTGTAAAAATCTAATCGTTTAGTTACAATACTCCGTGTCGTATGTGGGGAACAACTCTGTATTAATTCAAAGTTTCAAAGAACATTTGCTCTCGCACTACACTTACTCCTGTTCCAAAAAAGCATCGTGCGCTGACATTGGATTAAGCACTTGAACTCTTTACAAACAAACTAAATAATACCGTTTAAGTAACCAGGCTTTATAACTATTTTTAAATAAACAAATTAAATTTCGATTTAAGTACATTAATTAAACAACTAGATCGCGTGACATTTTGCGTGCAAAAATATCTCAAAATAATCTTAACCTCAAAAAATATTTATCAGTGAACTATAATCTGTCTCTATAGTACAGGTGTCGATGTCATTTAAATAAACTTTTTGTGTTTCTGTCCTTGTTCATCTATGTCCAGATACAGGGAGTTAAAATATAAACAAATAATAACTACGTCTAATTTTGGCATAAATTCTCTCCTGGAGTAGTTATAAGAAATGATAATATTGATTGCCCTATAAAAGAATCTTCTTAGTCTGATGAAGAAGTCTGTAAAATACTATTTTTATTTTATTTAAGATAAATTCATGTTTATTTTACAAGTAATTTAATATACCAGGGCGGGCCAAATTGTAATAACAAAATAATATTATTTTTATTTACGCTTTCGAGGGCTAAATTTTTCGGCAATCATTTTAGGGGATATGTTAAGAGAAACTTTTTGTTGTATCTGTAGAAGTATCCAACAAAGTTAGATACACTATTTTTGACACCTGCATACAGGTGGTCAGAACTGAGTCCGGAAATTTCGGCAGCATGTTTTGCATATAAAAAATAAGTAAAAAAGTTCGTGTAATTGTTAAGTGTCCTAAAATGCTTAGTTGGTAGACGAAATAAAAATGAAACTTCACACCCTGTATCGCCAAAACTAAGCATTTTAGAACATACATTTATACGAACTTTTTTACTTATTTTTATCTGTAGAATATGCTGTCGAAATTTCCGGAATACAGTTCGACCACCCTGTATAAGTAATACTTATCTGTTTTGTTTGAAATAAGATATCATTTTTGTATGATTATATATCCTTACTAAAGATATAAATAAAACGTGTTTTGGGTAGAAATGAAACTACACTGCAGTTACGGAGAATTAAAACAAATATATGTTTATTATAAACAAATACGTATATAAAAAATACAATGCACTTACCATATAATCTTAGTATAAAATAGTTTCAACTATATGCTATTAAGATTTAAAATAAACTAAAAAATACGTCTTATTGATACAAAAAACTGCAAAATACTGTTTAGAAATAGCTATTTATGTAACTAGTACCTAAAATGATGTTTTTTAGGACGAAATAGTAGATGAGTCCTAAAAAACATAATTTAGGTACGTGTTACATACACTATTTTTTGTCATACGCTTTTTACAGTTTTTTAGAACGCATATTTGCAAATTTTCCATATTTGAAATTATAATGTTTGGAGAAAAGTTGGCTTATAAATTCATATCTTAGTAACGAGTTTGTTTATTTCATCGCATTTTTGACATGTCATTCGAAATTTGTCACAAAAATCAAATTCATCAACAATTTAGACATTTTAGTCCATAAAGGTTGCCATGACGACCTTTACGGCCTAGGCCGAAAAAGAAACATTTTACGGACTGAAATGAGTCCGTAAAATAGCTGTTTTTGGGAGCGTATGACAAAAATAAATTTATGCTAATAATTACTATCTTCTCGCCATAAAATACCTAGGTGCTAATAGTTAAGTATATTTGCTTTTTTACCATCAGACAATCTGAAAATATACAATATGCACCGTCTATCTTCACAGACGCCGTGCTTAGTTCTGTTTATTTTTGTACTGTTTTGTTTAATCACCCTGTAAATACCATACTGTTTGTATCTTTTTGTCAATATTGATCGTTTTAATCATAGTACTCGTAATTAACGTTGTGAATTGATACACTTCTTTATTATTTTTATTTAAATATGTTTATTATTTGTAATAATAATATTGTGTAATATTTTTTATTATTTAGTTCATCTCTATCACTTATTTCGGTATAAAAACTCGCAACAATGCAAAATAATCATAATATCTCAATAGTATATCTCTGTATCGCTGAAGAAATACAGAAATAATATACAGGGTATCTCAGAAATAAGTGCAAGTATTTTAAATGGTAGTATATTTCGACCCCAGAAACACACCCGTGATTTTTTTTGCGAAAAATCACGGGCATTGAACATTTTCTGGAAAATATTGAAAAACTTTTGAGTGCCGCTTGTTCAGTTACCGGAAATTTGTTTACAGTGCTTCGAGAAGATGCAATGTTGCCACCTCCTACGTCATCCCTTATTCTCTATGTTTATAAGTTTTATAATTCCACATTTTAAAATTTTTCCGAAAATTAAATTAATCTTATTCACTGTAGATTTTTTAATCATTGTAGGTTACTACTAAGTATAATGCAACCTCTACTATATTTTAAATACCTTTTTTACAGTTTAGTAAAGTGAAATAATAAAACTAAATAATGAGCAATTATAGCAGCTTTTATATTTTAAAATCAATGCTCTTTATTATGTAAATAGTCAACGTTTGACCTACATTTAAACAGATCAGCAGATTGAATTTTTAGGTTATAAAATCCATTTTGAGATTTTACTCAAAACAATAAACCTCTGACAAAACTAAAAAAATAGGCAAATGTAAGGTAAACCTGTAAAAATACTTTTATTATTCAAATAGAAATATCAATTATTTTGGTGTTTGTCTACGACCACTTAATAATAAATCAATATTCTACTTCCTAGCTGAAGGAATATGGTGCCCATATTTGTAATAGAGTGAAATATAACAGCTGATAACAGTGAATTATGATAAATCCAATGAATAAAAATGGATAAATCACACTTTGCATTTACTTTACATTTGTTGCTATGCCAACGTGACACTCACAACATCCCGATGCGCGGCGTGGATGATTTGACGTTTTTCTTATCTTTTCTTTTTATTAATTTTGACGTTTAAAATTGTCAAATGTTAAGTAGGTAGTACTTTGTATATGGTAGGTAGTGATTATTAAATGGCATATCAAGAACTCGTTTAAAATCAAAAAATGAATTATGAGAATGATAATGAGCCCTGTACACCACCAAAGATAGCAGAGGCGGCCAAATCTTGGATTGCTCAGTCTTGGATTGCTACCACAAAAGTGTAAGGATAATTACATGTCTACCTATAAAAACTTTCTAGACTGGAGGATTGCTAAAGGCATAAATTCGTTTACCGAATCCGTGTTATTAGTATATTTAGTTGCCATTGGTAACGGAGCAAAAATCAATCTCCTGACTGACTAAAGAATGTTGGTACGATATTTTCATGCAAAGAACTTGAAAAAATATCAATAAAATTCAAATACATATATAACTTTAAATAAAACACAAATTACCAACTTTAGTTACACAAAACAACAAAAAATCAGCTGCTTGGGGTACGATCTATCATTTTTCAACAAATTTATTTTACTAAAGGTGGTAGAAATAAGTACTAATATACAGGTATGTCGTAAAACACATAATAATAAACTTCCCATATATTTAAATTAATTATTAATTAACTGTAATAGAATAGTTCGAGATGACTGCGACTCTCGATGCATAGCAACTGATGCTATTGACGTTTTTATTATCTTTTAGTTAATTTTGACGTTTGAAATTGCCAAATTTTAAGTAGATAGTGACATTTTCCACTAAAATATGAATACAATAATTAATAGTAAGATTAACATTACAAATACAAATTCAAACACCCCTCATAATTATTATAATTTATAATGTGGACAAAGCCAACAGTGGACAAACTTCACCCTGCGCGAATAATGGCTAGCATAAATTGCTCGTTCAATAATATACTATTATTCACGCAAAAACAAGATAAGAGTGTGAGATAGAAAAACAGCGAAGTTTAAATTCTCAAAAAATACTCCTAAATAATTCAGATGGCATATAAATGTATTTTGTGTCAAATACACGTGTAAGGGTAGTTCTGTCAAGAATTGCAGTGGAATGAACTGTTGTTAAGTGTAGAGTTTCGGTTTTAGGTAAAGTGATAAAACGATGCTCTAACCTAATTACATCGATCTGCTATCTATCATCCCGTTTTCTAATGTTAGGTAGGTTTTTTACTTTTAATCTGAATTTTCTAAGTCGTTTTTAAATATTTCTAGTCGATGTGTCAACACTGACGCCAAACAAGCTGAGATTCTGGTAATTGTTTGGTATTTGCGGCTGATTATCGATGGCTGCCGGCGGCTCTCAAAATGTTGCCATTATTTTTTTAAATTTTCAAAGTTAAATAACTCGATTATTATCAATTTATTTTAAAAATAATAAAGAGAAAATATGTTACCCCTTAAAATACTTGCACTTATTTGTGTGACACTCTGTATAGACCAGGTTATTTAACGAGATCAAAATAATTGTTTGTATTAATTGTCACAGTAATAACCAAAGATCTAAAAATGTGTATCAATTCTAACATTAACGATCTTTACTAATCTAATTTATTTAAACATAAAATAATACTATAGATTCGTCAGCTTGATATTGAGCCCTAGATCTAGAATAATATTAATATATACAGGGTGTTTCACGGTGATCGTAGGTTAGACGTTTATGATTAAATTTTTATTATGTTAAATTTTTCTTAAAGGCACCTGCCTCATCGATATAAATTATTTTTAGTGTTTTTAAGCAGTGTTATCAGTGTCAGTCGTGTTACTTAAAAAGTAGTAGTATATCTGATATTTAAACCCAGTATATTATAATATTTTTAAAAACTACTTTTTTTCTTATAATATTTCTCTATTAGAAACTCTTATACCCATCTCTAAAAGCTTTCAAGATAAAAAATAAAATGTGTATAAAATTGACAAAAAAAACAATATTCCTATTAGTAACTAAAATATTCCTATTAGTGGAGTGCCCAGAGACTTTTACTTCGGAATTCAATTACCGTGAATGTATTAATATGAAACCTTCTGTATTGTGTTTTATAGATAAAATACTAAAATATTTACCCATTTGTTTTCGTTGCTTTTAATTTTCTACTAAATTTTTTTGATTTTTTTAATTCTTTTTCTAAGTAAATTTATTGAAATAAATAAATCTAATGCATAAGCTGTACCTATTCTGCTTATATTCTAATCATTGAAATTTTGATTCAAAACGAATTATACAGGATGGCGCGTCATAATATACGACGCGGTTTTTGCAAACAGAACAAAAGTTTGTATTGAAGTGAAATGTTGTGAGTTTATGTAAGTCAATTTAAAGCATTTTCTAAAATTATGTAGACTGGCAAACGGCAGTTTCTTAGCGATAAACTTACAATAAGTCGATCGTCTTGATTAGAAGTTCTCATACGAAGGTTCCTGGACGTCTAGATTGATGTAGTCATAATTCAAAAACCACTTTCAAAAACACATTTTTGGAACCGGAATTTTATAGCAAAATTACTGAACTAAACAAATATAGATATATATTTGACTCACCCTGTATATCGCTAAAAATATTTTTGAAATGTGAACTACCATTAAACACATATTTTGTAAAAGGTTTGGAGTGAAAATCTCAAATAGGAATCCTGATACAGAGCTTTTCCGGAATACGGAGCCATCTTGTATGTATGCATTTGTATATGTGTGTTTATTTAAATACTAAAGTGAAAGCAACGAATTTAAATGGATAAACTTTGTAATATATATCTTATTAACAATACAATGCAAAAAGTTTTATAAAAATTCGTTCACAGAATGGTAGGTAAATGAATTCCGAGCTTTGTATCCCATAAAGGCTTAAAGCACTCCACTATATGTAAAATACAAATTGATAGCGTAAAAAAATAGAAATTTCAACAGTCCAAAGGAATGGAATTAAAGGGATCGTAACTGAGAAAAGTTTAAGAAAAAATGAGTAAAAGCCGAAAAAAAAACAGAACTCACTCAATCAATAAAGCCTAGTTCAGATACGGCTAGTAATTTAGTCGAGTAGCGAGTAATTTAGTCGTGTAGCGAGTACCCACTTACCGATTATCGTTCATATCTGTTTTGAAATTGAGTTTAGTAGTGCAATAGTAATGACAAAACTGTTAAAATGGACAAGAAAAGACGTACGGAATTAAATAAGGTTATAAAAAACATAATAAATATTATTTTGAAAGAAATTGAAGAAGAAATATCTGAAAAACTCAAGCGTTTATGGGTCAGAAAATGGATCAATAGAAGAGAATTAGAATTATTCAATTAGAAGATCCTGTAGAATACTGTAATGCAATCAGAATATCAGAAACGCGACATTTCGACAGTTTCATCAACTAATGTACCTACTTAACTAAACAATGAACTAAACACTCGTGTTCATACTTGTTTTAGTGGCAGTTTAGTAGTTAGTAGCACATGGTGGGGGACTCTACTCGACCGTCAAAATAGAATCGGATGGATCCAGTCGACTAAACTAGAGATCGGCAAGACAAGAAATCTTGCCGAGAATACAAGACAAGAAATTGTCTTGAAATATTTTCAAGAATTAAAAAAAAATCTTGTCTTGACCATTTCTTGAAAGTTGATTTCTTGTCTTGATTCAAGAAATCTTGAAATTTCTTGATATCTTGATAACAGGGGAACCCCCGTTTAAAATTCGTTTATTAAAGGGATCTCCCTGTTTAAAAGTCGCGGTGAGATTGGTTAATGTGATGTTTATGCTTTATGCGTAAAATCGAGGATTAGGCATCTAATTTTCAAAAAATTCAAAAACTTTTGGCTCATACTACAGTAACCAAAATCATCAGATTTACATAATTTTGTTAATTATTATTATTATTATCTAACATTAAAATGGGTGCTTGTGATGGTTCGTTGAGCAGCAAATCTGAGCCATTCGTAATTGAATCTGGTTCAGAATACCTACCACCTCAGACACCTGGACGTAGAAGTTTAATTAGTGACTTTGACAGTAGTGACGGTGATAATACTACTACAGATAAAAACAGTCAAAACAACAATGATAAAAGTTACTCTACTTCAGTGGCGTACATTAAAATGTATTATGTTTTTTTTATTTTAAAAGTTTTACGTTAATTCAAAAAGTGTGTATGCCACTGTAGTAGACCCGCTTTGCAGAGTTTTTTTTATTCTAATATCGTAGGCCACAACATATCCAAAAAATTATAAAAAAACATTTAAAGATTAAAAAATTATTAGGAATTAAACAAGGTTCCAATTTAATTTGGCCCACAGTACCGTACATATTATGTCAACTTTGGACATTGGACATCAAACGAAGTGCCGCTTCGTACAAATATTTTTTGCTTAATAATTTTTTTATCCATCAATTAATGGATATAATATACAAATACCTAAGTAAATTAGTATTTCTTTTTTATTTTATATTTTCAAGAAATTTCAAGATTTTCTTGATTTCTTGTCAAGAAATCTTCATCTTGACAAGTAATTTCTTGTCTTGTCTTGAAAACCAAAAATCATTTCTTGTCTTGATCTTGTCTTGAAATCAAGACAAGATAAAGAAGTTGTCAAGAAAATGACGACCCCTAGACTAAACTACTACACTAAACTACTCTACTAATTTTTACCGTCCGCACGCACTAAATTACTAAATTCCTCGCTACTCGACCAAATTACTAGGCGTGTCTGAACTAGGCTTAATATAGGAAAGTACTTAAAATTTTCTTTAATAGTCTTTAATTTCCAAAAATGTGATATAGATGCAGCAAGTAGATTTATTTAAAATTCAAATTTTCAAAAAAGTCTTATCCTTGATTCTTCATAACGACTAACCTACAATCGCCGTAAAACACTACGTATATTTTTTACTTCTAGCCAAAAATTGCTAGATTTCGGACCAAATCAAATAATACATTGACATTTTTCTTATAACTTCACTACACTTAAACTAACTACGAGGTAATATCACAAAACTCTACAGATTTATTTCCCCTCCAGCGAAGACAAATCGTTCTCGACGTCCTTTTCAACAGTCAAACTTCTGAGGCTTCTGATCGAGTGGCGGGAGGCTCCGAGGCTGGCGTCGGCTCTGAAGGGGGTCGTGGTCTTTTGGAGCAGGATCGGTCCTAGGACGGTCATGAGCACTGCAGAGACGGGAGCGGTCATCATGATGGACAGGATACACACCATAAGCACCTTCTGGGCGTATTCGAATTGGGGGGAGGTGGTGTCTGTGGCGAGGACTAGAAGAACTGGGCCTAAGGCAGCCTGGAATAGATACAATAAGAGAAATTATTAAATCTTAAGCTTCAGTCAGGACCTCGCAATTAGTGGAATAAATTAGTAGATTCAGTTACACTTTATACTTTTTTTCCATAGCAACTGTTAAAATTGCCTAATATCTATCAAAAATAGTGATAAAATAGTACTTTAACCGCAAGGGTAGATTAAATGATACTTTAACAGCGGGGATATGTTAAAAACTTATTTATTTCTTCTCGCACGTTTTTTAATTGCTTCCATTTTTGAAAATTTTAAGTTAAGTTATTCGGGATTTAAATGGAAGTATTCTGGACATGGCCTCAGCCTGAATATCTGTTGATAATTTACTTATCTCGTTTTGAGCCATTTCTGGCTCTAATTCAATCAGCAATCGACACGAAAAAGAATTAAAAAATATTGACTCAAAACTGACAAATAAAGAGAGAGCTTTATTTATTTGTCAAATTACATAGAAATCAACGCCAATCCAGCACAATATTTTTTCTACTCGTAATAAATTCCTTCAAATAATAATTTCTGAATATTTTTTTAAAACGTAACTCGGCTATGGAAAAAAAAATATTGTTTTATACACGACGATAAAATACCATCTTATCGTCTTGTATAAAAAATAACTATTAGTTTACGATAATTCACAATATTTAAAAAACTCAATTAAAATTAATAGAATATCCTAGCAACAGCTTGCGGTAGTCAGTTGTATTCATAGAGAAAGCCTAAAGGTAAGTGTCCATTTGAGAGTAATTCGTGCGAGTGACTGTCGATAGTCACTCCAAAGAGAGTATCCATTTGAGAGCGATTTAAAGAATTTTTGCTATCGGCTAGATAACTAAAAATTCTCCAAATGCTTACTCTCATACATATCTGTCAGGAGGGTATCCATTTGAGATTTCTGTTTCATCAACTGCCTTTCTTTGTATATTAACGTGTTTTGTGTTTTTTTTAATCAATTTAGTTATTCCCTCATATAAAACATATATACAACACATAAATAATGCACAGCATATACATATCATAGAAGATCTAGGTGTCGTCCTTTTTCATCTGTCGCATCAGTGACCTACTGTTGGTACCAGATCCTGGCCAGATGGTATCGAAGGCATTCTTTTCGTAATTATTTCTATCGTCGATTTCTGGATTTAGTGTATGATTCTATTTAATATTAACCATTTAATCCTCTTTTTGAATTGTATAAATTTCAATTTTTTTACCTTCTCTGCTAAACTATTGAATGTTTGAATTGTTTTTGCTGTTAGTCTCTGTGTTAATGTCTTATTTTTTACTTCATAATATGTGACTTTTTCCTTGTTTGGTAATTCTAAACTTCCTTGTTTCTATTTAATTTAATATTTAGCAAGCTATTAAAAAGTATTAATTGTTTTATATCTAGTTCTTGCACTGTATCAAATAATATGTGTGTTGTTGTTCTTTTGTGTAATTTATATATTAATTTTAAAATTTTATTTTGTTGACGTTGCAATGCGTTTAAATTATTTTCGGTCGTATTACTCCATATATTCATTAAATAGTTCATCCTGGAGGTAAACAGTGCGTGATATAAGGTTTCCTCATGTTATTTGGTATCAATTTTTGAATTTTTATTAAAGCTGCAATGGTGCGTATATTTTCATTTTTCAGCTTTACTACATGACCATCCCATTTCAAATTATTTTGTATTTTTAACCCTAAATAATTGATTGTTGATGTTTCTCGTAGAATATGGTTTTGTAGTTTTATTTGTAAGTTTAATTTTTGTTTTGTGGTTTTAAATATCATATATTCTGTTTTTAGTTCGTTTATGGTTAGGAGATTGTTGTAGCACCATGTTTGCACTTTTTGCAGGTCTTTGTTGATGTTTGTTTCAAGGATGTTCTGATCTGTTTCTGTATATACTAAACATGTATCATCGGCATATCCATATATGATGCCATTTAATGATTTAATGCTAGTTCGCAGAGATTGTTTGTATAAAGGATATACAGGAGAGGTGGTAGGCCAAAATGACATTTCTCGCAAATTTTGAAGTGTAATTAGTGGAAAAGTTAAAAGTTTGAAAACTTTTCTTCTAATTGAGAATGTCTATCACTAATTTTGACGTTCTGAATGCTTACATTGAAATTAAAGGAACAAACTACTACTAGTTAAAACCACTAATTTGTTCTACTAATTGCGAGGTTCTGAATGAAGCTTAAGTGGAATAAATTAGTGATTTCAGTTAGTGTAGAAGTGTGTTCCTTTAATCAATGTAAACATTTAGAACGTCAAAATTAGTGGTAGTAAATGTCAATTAGTAGGAAATGTTAACAAATTTTTTAATATTTTTCACTAATTTTACTTACTAAAAAGATCATGGCGAGCCCCCTTTGCCCTTAAACAGTGTTAGTGAAGTAAAAAATTATATTGTTGCTTAAGTTTTGCTGGTTTTATTGAAACTACACGCATAGATATTTCAGCTGCGCTCAATATCCGTTTACAGACTATCATAGAATCTCACAAAAATTGAAGACTAATGTTAACCAATTAAACATTTCCATTTTTGAGCTTCCATTGAGAAAACTAGCTAATATCTCCATTTAATTAGAATTTACTGTGTATTAATCATCAAATTTTTTTTGACCCTTGTCAAAAGTCAAAGCAAAAAAAGCTAACCGTGGCAACCATTAATCACAACTAATAGTCTGGTTCATGTACCATTTCGAGTAAAATTTTTTAATATTCTCCGAAAATTACAAATGTGTGAATATTTTTTTGGCTGTACTTACCTGCCGTTAAACGGTAGCTTACTAAAATGCCGTTAATAGGTATGACGTCGTTGATGTGACGCACTTGAGGGCTTTATGAAATATAGGAATTTTATAAGGACTAACCAACGCTATCCATCCCACCAAATAACCAACTAACCAATGAATTAACACCTTCCAAATAACCACGCTAACCAACCCGCCAAATAACTTAACTCTAAAAAAAAATCCAACCAAAAAGAGTGAAACCAATGCAATAAGATCACGCTATAAGCAAAAAAAATATATAAAAAAGTCTTGGTCGGCGTGAGATTTGAACCACGGATCATTCGCTCACGAAGCGATAGCTTCTGCCACGGAGCCACAGGTGCTCTTGCATAAAGCTTATAGCTAGGCATTACTTTCCGCCGACATGAACGACGTCATAATATCTATTAACGGCATTTTAGTAGGCTACCGTTTAACGGCTGTTTAAGTACATCGTATTTTTTTTTAAGAAAACCAACACATGGCTGCTTTTAAATAGTGTTATATTTATGAAAATGGTTCATGTGAACCAGACTCTAACTTTTACTGGTTTTTCTATAGATACGTACCTGTACAGTGGCCTTAGACATAAGGGCAAATCCGGCGAATACTTTTTCTTTCAAGTTCAGCTTGCATCCTATTCCCAAAGCTATGGTTCCGGCCAATCTGATAATGATACCGGTAGACAAAATTGCAAAACCTGAAAAATAGTCAGTGAAACTTGAATCAGTCATTTAAATGAATCAAGGGTCCATTTTACTAATCCGAAAAAGTAGCAAAACAAGCGTTCGGCATTTAACGTTTTATGTAAAACTGGCTAGGTATTTTTACACAAATGAAGAAAGAAATTAAAGATAAAGGATTATACTATGTCGCTATTATAGCACGCTTTTAGATAACTTCTTCATTTTTAAGATTTTGATGGTCAAACATCAACAAAATATTCCTTATGTTTGGACTAAATTTTCTCGAAAATAAAGATATAATTGAAAATTCTGTTACAATAGAGAAATAGATTGAAGTTTTGTGATTACAGTGATATACAATTTATATAGTTTTGTAACAAATTACTCGCTATTTTATGGCAAATGCTGAAGCTCTGCAAGCCTTAATCATGCCCTAATCCAAGCACGTGTGTTTGGAATTTTGGATGTGGCTTAACACGAACACGACAGGATCGGGCTAAGCTTTAGGCAGATTTCTGAAATATAATATATATTTCCTTCGGCCACACACCAGCTTTACCCGACCCCCGAGAGCGACCCGAGCAGTACATCGAAATAGACTCTTAATATTAATTTGTAGAACCAATAGTATAGTTTCTGAACCAGTTCTCTATACAAGGTGTATTAAGGAAGGTATGTTTATTTATTCTACAGTCATTGGCTTACCTAACAATAAAATATGTCCGTCCAATTCGTTCAGCTTGATTTGGGCACCAGTAACCGCGAAGAGGATGGGTTCGAATACCATCCACAGTATCTCGAACCCTTCATTGGCCGGGTTGTCCTCGACGCTCCAACCCTGCTTGGACCACAGTACCAGAGCTGTGAAGGCACCGATGACGCAGCCCAGAGGTCCGGCACCTCCGTATCCAATGGTGTCGCTTCCGAAAACGGAAACAGAGCAACCGACGAACAGGAGTAGGATTCTGAGGTGAGTCTGAAAGGAGATCAGATATTTATATGAGCGTGAATACCAGAAATTTGTATAAGAGTAAAAAGTATTAGAGTGGTTTGGTTTGGCTTTAAGAAGCATGACCATACAATCAGTGAGATCGAAAACTGTGATGGAATGTCGAGAAGCACTGTCCTGGCTGCGTCGGGGCGGGGATACTCTGTGCTGGGTGCCAGGCCACAGCAATGTGGTGGGCAATCAGGAAGCAGACAGACTAGCCAAAGACGGAGCCAGGGGATAGCCCGTGGCAGATGACCCATCACTTGTGACGATCAACGCACTGAAGGAGGCGATAGGAACTGGTTTGGCTTTCCTGCCAAGCAGCAAGAGACGTGGCAACACCGTGCGGACTGCGCTACAGCTCGAAGACTGTGGCCAGTGGTAGATAGCAAAAAGACAAAACAACTACTAGAGCACAAAAAGAATCTAGTACGCAAAATTTTTAGTGTCGTTACTGGAAACTGTTCCACGGGGGTAAACGTGAGATGGAAAATTTCCAATGACGACCACTGCAGAGAATGCGGGAAGGAAAAAGAAACCATAGAGCACCTGCTGTACCACTGTCCGGCACTAGAATATCGGCGCTTTAAAACTTTAGGCCAAGGTTACCAACTGGCACGTGTATTCAGCATACGCAGACCTTTACGCTGTAAAATTAACTCTCCGGAGGCCGCGCGCCTATTTTCCCCGATAATTCGAAAATCTGGAAACATCAGATGCTGCACCGCTTAGTATCTTCCTGTCTCTGCATATTTTATGAGAAGTGTACGTTTGCACATCGTTTAGGGTAGTTATTTATTCGTGTCAAATTTTTTTATTAAATAAGTATTATTTTTTAGATGTACACTGCAAGAAATATTGCAACAGCTCATGCAAGACTGTTTGAACGAAGATGACGAATTAACTACTGAACATGATGATGAAAAGGAAGAACGAGAGGTGGATATTATAGAAAGGCAAGGGCCCAAAACAAATTCTGATACTGGAATATAAATTTCAGATTCTGATTTCTTACCGCGTATGGATCGTTCCTTTCTGGGAAGAAGTAGCAAATGACACCCCACAGGACGCCGAATCCAATGCCTCCTATGATGGATATTGGCGCCTCCAAGATGACGTGCGTCATTGATCCCGATGAGAACATGGCGCTCTTGATTATGCCGAACAAGGCCACGGATGCGGCGTCGTCTATACCGGCTATGGCAATGATCATGGTGGGGATACCCTTGGCTACCCCGTAACCTTTTGATCTCAGTCTGGAAAATAATAAATTATATAAACAACTTCTAAAGGTGCGTCCAGACCTGACGAGACGAGAGCGAGACGAGCGCGAGAGATCTCAAATTTGCTATGTAGTGTGGACGGGTCTCGGCAGAGCCTCGCGAGACAACTCTTAACGACCCTCAACCCCGACAAGCCTCGTTGCTATACGTTGTCTGTCGATTTTGCGACGGCTGATCAAAGAAAGTTCGCGGCACAGTCTGGACGTGTTTTTTGTAGGCTTGCTCGACTGCGAGATATTAGCCCTGATTTATGATTTCGACTATTTAAATTTAAGTAGTCTCAAATATTTTAAATCGTACACCGTATGTATTATCATTTTTTTCTTTGGGTCACTGATAATTTTTACCGTACCGATCTAACATTTTTTTAAACAAATTGAATTATTACAAAATCTATTAATTTTAGATAAACCGGGTGAGTCTCAAAAGTGGCTTTATTTTTTTCTGGAGATTTGGTATGTTAGTATATGACATAAATTAGGATTGGTTGACGGTATTGAATTGTTTTCGGACACTTCTTGTTTCACCGGAAATGGCATAACTTTTGATTTTTAAATGACACCCTCGGTACTTTTTTACTTTATTCGATAGAATAACAAATTGTATTTTAAATATTAATCTAGATTACCATGGCTGTGTTAAAAACACTAATTTTTAATCAATGAGCCTTGAAAAAATAGATTTGATTAATGTTTTTAGTGTCTTGTCCTGGCCCGTTAAAAGATGGCCAAATCGTATTTTTAATCATATCTCAATTTTTTAAAACGGAACGAGGGTGGCTCATTAGCATATTTGGAAAAATCATTTTTTTACGAATAATTTGATACCACACACTTGGTATGTCGAGTCAAATTGTCGTTATGAACCGCAGCAATAAACCATATACAAAAATGTCAAAAGTTAACATATGATATGTCATTCTATACAGAGTGTCATTTTCTATCGAATAAAGTAAAAAAATGCTATTTAAAAATCAAAAGTTGTAGTCATTTCCGGTAAAAACCGGAAGTGACCGAAGACAATTGAATATGTCAATAAATCCTAATATATTATGTCATATACTAACACACCAAATCTCTTTGCTTTACTGAAAAAATAAAAAAGTTATACGGGTGAGTCACTTTTGAGACGCACCCCGTATAATATCATATGCAATAAAGTTACCGAATTGTACGTAGAATCTAATAATAAAATAAAAAATAAGGCATTATTAATTACTCATTTTAAAATATATATTATATCCGCAACAGTTTTTTGAGGTACCCTGTATATTGTATAGTCATTTTAAAATTTGCTTCTTAACCTTTCCTATAACTTTTCTAGTTAACCTTCCCTATAACTTTTCTATTTTGCTCTAAACAAAACGTTAAAAATCATATTTTGTAAAAGACGTCGCGCGTCGTGTCTCGAAACAAATTAATGAAGGCTTAAAGGGGAAAAACAAATAAAAAAATTACCTTAAAAAACCCAAAATTACCTTAAAAAATCGCAAAATTACCTTAAAAATCCCAAAGTTACCTTAATAAACATGGCACGGTGACCGCGGGGGACACCGCCGCCACTGTGGAGCCCAGCGCGAAGCAGTAGTCCCAGGGCAGGGCGAGCAGGAAGTGCGACATGACGGCCACCACGACCGCCTCAATGAGCCACGGTCCTAATCCTAGTTTGATCACAGTGAATTTGAGTCTCTTGAGGGCGGCCGGGTCCAGGTCTAGACCGGCCCTGATTAAAATTATCACTAAAGCCATTCTCCTGAAACATTAAAAGCTATTTATTATTTGTTATGTTAAAAGGCCAACAATTATGTTGTAAAATTATGAAAGTGTACAAAGAATTATCCAGAACTTAAAGAATGACAAAAGTCCCGGAAATGATCACATGCCGGCTGAGGTATTTAAGTATGGAGGGTCCAAGTTGATAGAACACATCCAGGAACTACTGAAAGACGTATGAGAGAAAGAAGAAATACCGAAAGAGTGGAAAGAAGCAATAATATGCCCTATACATAAGAAGGAAGATAAGAGTGAGTGTCAAAACTACAAAGGTATAGCTCTCCTAATTGTAGCGTATAAAGTACTGGCAACATATATAAAAGAAATATTAGTAGAGGAGGTTGATGAGAAAATTGGAGAGTACCAATGTGGATTTAAGAAAGGAAGAAGTACCGTTGACCAAATATTTACCCTTAGAGAAATACAAGCGGAGAGTTATGAATACGGAAAACAGACAATGCTCCTATTTATCGACTTTCAGTAGGCATATGACAAAGTTAAAAGGACGGAGGTGTTTAGAGCATTAACAGAATTAGGGGTTAGCAAGAAACTGACCAAGATGATAAAATTGACACTCCAAGAGACAGTAAATGAGGTCAAAGTAAACAAGAAAACAATGGAAAAAAATATAATCAGGGATCCACTATCTCCAGTACTGTTTAGTGTAGTATTAGAAAAAGTTATAAAAGATGTGGGAATCAACAGAGAGGGCCTTCTGTATACAAAAAGACACCAATGCAGATGATTTAGTTATCTTGAGAAGAGATCGGAAAGAGCTGATATCGGTGACCAAAAGAGAAGAAAATCAAAAAAGTAGGCTTAGTGTTTAATGAAAAGAAAACGAAATTTATGGAGTGGTTAGATAGGGATTTTTGTAAGGGAACATGTCTACAAATGGATTCTGCGAGAGGGAAACGATACTAGTTTGAGGAAGTTCATTCACATATCTAGGAGCCGTATTTCTGAGGGAACCAAATGTATCTCAAGAAATTATGGCAGGATCTTAAGAATAATGGCAGGAAATAGATGTGTTAGCGCACTACAGAAAATTATTAAGAGTAAGAACATCTCTAGAAGTTTAAAAATCAGAATGTACCAAACAATGCTGACCAATAGTGCTGTATGCATGTGATATGTGGACGTTCAATGCAAGGAAAGACTGAGATGGCTGGGACACATTGAAAGAATGGTTGAAGCAAGAATTCCTAGTATGATAATGAAACGGGAAATAGGTGGAAAGAAAAGGAGGGGTAGACCGAGAACCCCAGATGGAAAAAGGATGTAGAAGAGGACTTGAGAAGGATAAGAGTTGATGGGTGGAGAATAAAGGCGAAAGACAGAAACAAATGGAGAAAGATAACTGTTGCTCATGCCATGAGCCTTTTAGGCCTTTAGAGCTATTTTATATAAAAGCCCAACAAATCCGAAAAAGTTCAAATCAAATTCAAATATGCCATTAAACGTCAAACAGAACTATTAAAAATGGGAATTCATGATGTCAATTCCATATTTAATACTTAATAAAGATACTCTACTATACATACCTTAAATGCCTAGTTATAGGATGAAACGAACTATCTATGTCTACAATATTGACGTTCTGCATCAGTATTCCTGTGAAGAGCATTCCGATGAGCCCAGGCAGACTGGTGAGGCTCACCAGCCATCCGCCAAACTTGGATCCTAACACCAAAATGAGCAGCTGAAACAGTTTACCGCTTGGAGGGGCAGCTATTTCACCTAGAATGGGAAAGAATATCTTTGAAGCGAATATCTTTTAAACGGAAAATCTGAACAACTGTTCATTAAATTCTACATATTGTTACGTTTTTCGTCGGTTCCATGTGGACAGAAAGTCACAATTTATTTAAACACAATTTATTCTACACTAAGTAACAAAAACAATAACGATAAAAAACTTTAAGAACTATTTACAAACTATTTATCTAGGAAGAATTTATTTTGAATTTAGCGCGGCAACTGTACTCGTCTATTTGTTTCTGTCCCTCAGGCTCCAGGCGTCGGCTTATATAATCGCAGCTAAACAGTTCTCGAATAGTCCATAGATCATTAGGTGCATAGAGGAAAAAAAGGTTTAGAATGTTCTCGTATGTAGTCCTCCATTCCAGTGGAACTCGATCGTTCTCGAACGTTCGAATGAATCATTACGGTGTCTATTCTTTAATGCGATGTTAAGGTCATATGGGGACGGGACATATTAGTTAGGTTAGGTCGAGTCCACACGGGTCCGCAACAATATTAAAACAATTAAAATTAACAAATTATCGACATGTTTCGCAACACAGCAGCTTTCAGTACCGTTTCTGGCAATGACCATTCTAATCATTGTCGCATTGGCGTATCTACTAATGACAATGTGCAGTGGTGTTAGTGGTATAGAATGACCTCCATTGCTGCTGTTTAAACAGCAGCCTTATCGCATATTGCCAAATCAAACCAAACCCAAAACAACACACTGTATTATAATCAGATTTTTAATTTTTTTTTACAGTTAGTAAAATATATGTAGATTCTTATATTAATAACATACAAGACATTACCTACAATGGTATAGATTATGATCCAAGCCACGATCCCGACCAGCGCCAGAGAGATGAACCTGGAAAAGGTCTGATAGTCCGGGAAAAATGGATACGGGACATAGAAAGGACCAGTATTTCGGTTCCCAGGTTTCTGGAGTCGATTCTTTCGAGCGGCATTTCAGGCAGAAAGCATACCACCACGATCTGAAATGGTTAAAGGAAAGTTACTTTACCTTTTTATATACAGAGTGCAAAAAAATGTACCAAACTTCATTAAGTGGCTATAGATAAAAATAAAAGGAAAAATTACTATGAACATATGCCTTAAGATGCTTCTGAGAAAGTTGCAAGGCCATGGCAAGCTTTTACAGCCCTTGCAAGCTTTTCTAGCCTTTACAGACCACGTGGCATATCAGCATGTCTTGTAATTTTAGAGAACGATAGAGTAAAGTTCATTGTCTTGACTGTTTCCAGAATGTTAACATATAGAGTTTAATATACAGTTTCCAGAATGTTAAGATATACATAATTTTTAAATAGGAAACTTTTAGGGAGTTTAGAAACTTTTTTCTTTCTTGTAAATTTAATAATCTACAACCTATGTTGTCATATTTTAAAAATACTAGTTGAAGCCTGGCGCATCCGCCAACTCATCAGGAAAACAAATACTTATTTTTTTTTAATTAAATGAAAAACAAAAAATCCGGCGACGACAGTTTTTAGAAGAGCCAATTATCTATCTTTTAGTAAAATAAGCAACTTTCTAGAGCAAGTCGTTACTTCAGTAGAGACGACACCGATAAACATTAGCATTTTATATTATAGCCGTAGTATATGTAGATTATGTTTAAAAAAAAATACAAAAAGTTTTCAACTTTTGTATACAACCTGTATATTCAAAAATAATTTTAAATTGTGCATCATAAAATTTTCTAAAACTTTTGTATTTAACATTTTGTCGTAATCATAAAAACAAATGAAATAATGAACATTATTCTATCGTTGACTCACCCTGAGAGAAGTTTATATACTTAGTTTTCTAATATTAAAATAAACCTGTCAACGTTGCTTAATTAGTTGACATATTGATCAATAATGACAGCACATTGGTTGGAAATTTGACATATTATATGTCAAATTTGATGAAAATAAATAAAATGAAAAAGTTTTTTCGAAAATAATTTTAACAACCTATTGTTAACCAATTTTTATCAGTTATTTTAACAGCTTAGCTTATTTGATGGCCAGGAATGAAAGAAAAACGCCAAAAATTATTGTTAATCATTTAAAGGTAATGTCTTAATACATCAAAATTTACCATTTAATTTAAAAGTTCTAATTTTTTATATTTCTACTAATAATACATCAATTAATTATTTTGTGCTTTTAGTCAATCTTTACTAAAAACCGATAAAAAATATGAAAATAAAACATATTAATATAAAATAAAACTATACGTTACCTAGGATTATCATCTCCATTGTCCGAAAATCTTGTTTTCGAATTTTTCGAAGTCATTGAAATGTTGGATAAATTTTTCCTTAATTTCCCATCGCCGTTCTTGTCAATTACTTCTACATCTAGAAAAATCAATCAAGAATTGATTGTGTATTGAATAAATACACAATAAGTAAATGTTTCTGTGTAGACACTTGAAGTGGCATGACATGTTTCTATATTTTGACAAACATTTGTCGACAAACTTCAGAAAAAATATTCCTAAATGGAAAAATATATTTTGATTTAACTGGAGTTTTGATTTTTTGTTGTTTATGTTTTGAAGTATCAGTAAAATATTGACAAAGATAGTGGATCACTTCAAATTCTCTTATTATTAAAATCTGTTGATAAAACAATGTAATAATAACTTTGGAAAAAGAATAAATCTTGCACATCATAAAACATTCCAAATAGTTACAGAAAAAATAATATTGAATATACCTTTAAACCGGTGTCCCAATATTCCGTGAACATAGAACAACTACATGTTTTTGGAATAAAAATAAGTTCATTGGACACAATTTACCAATATACAAGAATGCGTCTTTTGTCCGTTAGAGGGCATCAAACTTTAAGAAAATAAACACACTTTTTCAGATATTTTAAGAACCGTTATTCCGATTTGAATGAGATTTTAGGTGTCTATGTTTTGCTAAGCGTTTTAATATTTGACTTTCAAAAATATCAAGAAAAAGTACGGGAAAGGTGAAAACTAACCCCACCCCTAGCTATCAGAAACTATATAAAATCTATTATGCTCTAATAATCTAGTTGGCGAAAATATGGAATTTTATGTTAGTATCACAAATTATATTTGACAATAAGATTGATAAAAAGCTTAAAAAAATAATAATTTTAAATTAATTATCGTTCGGGTTTATCTTTTGATCCATGCCCTCTAACGGACAAACGAAGCATTTTTGTATATAGGTAAATTGTGTGCAATTAAACTAATTTTCATTCAAAAATACGAAATATTGAGGCACCCTGTATAAAAAAGTAATGAAAGACTCTTGTTGATGCGCTTCTTCCCAATTTTTTTTTTATTCAATGTAATTGTTTTGACATTTTATAGTACCTTGTATATAAGTCATGGATGCGTCTCCATTTACTTTGTTGGGCTCTCCAACATCATTCGAATTTTGAACCATGTTGATCTGTAACAAAAATAATACAAAGATTTTAGTAAAATTGATTATTCAAGGGTATTGTATTTATTTGTCTTCTTGCAAATTTGATTGAAAAATCAATTACCGCGGCTATTTTGAACTTGATTTGATTTTTTGAAAAACGACAAAAAGAAAATATGTTTCTTTTATCGATATCTACCAGCCCTGAAAATATTGGCACTTATTTAAGACCCACCCTGTAAAAATATCTTTCTAACATTAAAATTACAAACTTATTTGCTAGTACAGGGTGAATCAACGATAGAGTAAAAAAGATACCCTGTATAAAATGTGTTTAGAATTTCATGTAGAATTGGAAAACCCAAAGATACAGAGGGTGTTTGCTCCATTTAAAGTAAGTAAATTTATAGCAACTAACCGGCAACATTGGCGTAACTACAGGGGTGCAAGGAAGTGTCCACCCCCGAGGTGCTGCTTGGCACCCTTGGCACCTCCCAGAGAAAACTTGAATTTTGACTGAACAATGACTCTTGGCTAAATATTAATTTTTATTTGCTTGTGATGTAGTAAAAATACCTTTTTTCATTTTTGGTTTAATTAATATTATTTTGAGTTAGTTATTATATTTTTACAAAATTTTTAGGTATGTAAATAATCCACGGGAACACGGGTTGATAACCAAGTCTATTAAATTTATTGATAGAAAAACTCATGTAAACGTTTTATTCAAAAAATGTATTTATTTTTAATGATTACACTATTACACTACTCAAAATAATTATCGCATATTTGAATAAAAGTAATTATTACATATTTCTAAATGAAGCATGCATTTTTCTGCCTTTCTCTTGTGAGTTTTTAGGGTAATTAGGGTACGCACTAAACATGCAATTTTTAGTCGGCCGACTATTTAGTTGCAAAAGTGAAAACAATACATTTTTATGGAGCCGATCGACCCAATATTTGATTGCATTATGTAGCCTTAGGCTATACGTTGACAGGCAATTTTTAATCGACCGACTATTTAGTTCCATATTTGTAACTAATATACCGGGTGCGTCTCAAAAGTAGCTCATCCCCTATAACTTTTTTATTTTTTCAGATAAAAAAACGAGATTTGGTATGTTAGTATATGGCATAAATTAGGATTGATTGACGTATTCAACTGTTTTTGGTCACTTCCTGTTTCACCGGAAATGACTACAACCTTTGATTTTTAAATGGTACCCTCGGTATTTTCTTACTTTATTCGATAGAAAATGACATTCTGAATAGAATGACATATCATATATCAACTTTTGACATTCTCGCTTAATAAAAAATCGTATTTTAAAATTCAATTTAGAGTGCCATGGCTATGTTAAAAAGACTAATTCTTAATCAAGGAGTCTTGGAAAAATAGAGTTGATGGTCTAATGTTTTTAGTGTCTTGTCCTGGCCAGTTAGAAAATGCTCAAATCGTATTTTTACCCATATCTCAATTTTTTCAAATGGAACGAGGGTGGATCATTAGCATATTTAGAAAAAGCATTATTTTACGAATAATTTGATACCATACACTTGGTATTTCGAGTCAAATTTTCGTTAGGAACCGCAAGTTATAATTTCAAATAAACCATACGCGAAAATGTCAAAAGTTGACATATGATATGTCATTCTATTCAGAGTGTTATTTTCTATCGAATAAAGTAAAAAAATACCGAAGGTGCCATTTAAAAATCAAAAGTTGTAATTACTTCCGGTGAAACAGGAAGTGACAGAAAATAATTGAATACGTCAATCAATCCGAATTTATATCATATACTAACATACCAAATCTCGTTTTTTAACTGAAAAAATAAAAATGTTATAGGGGTGAGCCATCCTATGGAGCCGCGCTCACATACTATCAAATAGTCGGCCGATCGGCTCCATAAGTATCAATGTATTGTTTTCACTTTTGCAACTAAATAGTCGGCCGACTAAATTTACGGGTTAACGCGTAGGCTTATTGTTTCGAATTTTCCTTCACAGTATCCAAAATCCAAACTATTTAAAACTGTTTTTCAAATTAATATTTTTTTTAGATAATATGCAATAATTTCAACTAAATTCCTTTAAAAAAAAATCCCTAGGCCTCAAGCCGAGGATGATTTGTTACGCTAATGACCAGAAATATCAGAAACTAGAAAGTATTTAAAAAAGTTACATATGGAAACAATCTTAACTTCAAACATTCAAATTTGTATCCAAGTTAGATCATCAAAAGCTTCAAAATCCTGTAGGTATAGTAGAATTAACCCAAACATCATTTCACATTAACAAAAAATATGCAAAGTAACTAAATCTGGTTTAACCATTATCCCTTCTTGAAACTATTTTACAGCTGGGATTTGTCTTAAAAAATTCCATTGACCTTTTTATATTTTAATGCCCTTATTTTACCCCAGTAAAGGGTTCAATATATTGTAACTAAACTACCTGGATTTTTAGACGGGGGTACATTTTCTGATATTCCCAATCGCCCATTTCGAACAAAAAATCCCACACACTTTTGGCACACACTTATACAGTAACCTTTCTCCAACCGAGCAGAAAGAAGACTGCATTAACATTTGCTAAGACAAGGCTTTATGTTCTTTATGGCTATTCGTCGGCATTTTTATGGGACAATCACTATAGCGACTATAAAAAAATCAAACAATAGATACCAGCATGCTATTAGGTTTTTATACCTCATTAAACATGAAGACATGAGTAATTAGAAGAATCGGCAACGTAGCGGATATATATGGTATCTCTTAGATAATGCTTGTGCAATCTTTGCTGAGGTGGCGCATTTTTTTGCATTGCAAAAAAAGTTACGGTTGTTGAATGTTGGTGGAATCATACATAGGCAGTATTTTTTCCGAACAGTGGTTAGAATTTTACTGAATATAACTTTTTTAATTTTGGACGTACAAAATAGCTATACCGGGTGTTGCATCGTCGAGCGGGAAATAGGAAATCCCATGTAAATTTTAATGGGGTCAATTATTGGCTTCCCTAATTATTTTTGAGAATAATTCTATTTAGGTTTATTGAAGAGCACTAAAACCCACATTCAAAAGAATAACTTTAGATATTTTTGATTAGCCCGTTTACAAGTTATCGCCGATTTCTTTTTAAATATTTCTCCTTTCTTATGGCCCTGTATTTACTTATGAGCACCAGTCAAGGTAAAAGATAACTGTCAAATGAAGTTGTCATTTCAGAAATTTATCTATTTAGTGCTTTATTATTATTATTAAAAACTCATACCTACATCGAAAATATTAGCCATGAATTACACTACCGAAGAAAAAGTATTGATGATTAAATGGTATTATCAAGGAAATAGTTATCGAAAGGTGTCGGACATGCTTGCTGCTCTGTATCCGAATAAACCGATATCTGGAAAATCTACAATCGCAAGGAATATCCAGAGATTTGAGACCAAAGGTACCCTAATAAATAACTGCAGATGTGAAGCAAGGCAGGAACAAAGAGAAGATGCAGGAAATGATACCGACTTGGAAGTTTTATTGCGCGTGGAAGAGAACGATGGAAATCAGCACAAGGAAACTTGAGGATGAAATAGGAATAGATCACACTACAGCGCTTCGAATTTTGAAACGACATAAATACTATACCTTCAAATATGAAAAGTACCAAGAGCTACGAGATGGGGACGAAATACGGCGGCAGGCGTTTTGTTTTGATATAATGGAAAGATCAAACACGGATAGGGAATTTTTAAAAAACATATGTTTCACTGACGAATGCACGTTTACCTTAAATAATGAAACCAATGTTCAAAATTATCGATATTGGAACAAAGAAAACCAACACAGGTTTGTCGAAACAAGGACGCAAAATCCACAGAAAGTAAATGTTTGGGCAGGGATTTCGGACACAATATTATCGGGCCATTATTTCTTACAAGAAATTTAAATGCAGAATATTATTTGGAACTACTCGAAAATAATATTTTACCTGCTTTACATTATTCCGCTAAGGAAAATCAGGAAGTTTGGTACAAAATGGATGGCTGCCCGGCACATAGTACCCTAGCTGTTCGTGAATATTTAGACAACTTATATTCATTCACAGTAAGAAATAATATAGCTTATAAAATATTCCTGTAATACTCTCAAAGGTAATTAATTTTTTGTCGTGGCCACTTCAAATCTACAGTTACTTTCATGAACAATTGGTGTCCGATCCGCCCTGGTCAATAAACTTTAGGTAGAGTTCAATGTCAAATTGCGTTTCTAGCAGAAAAAAATAGAACAATAAATACATAGGTGTAGATCAGGTTTAAAGGTCACCACGGACTGCGTTTATGCTGGACGGCTTTGTTGGACGAACGAAAATGTTCCAATAAAAAAGTCAAATTTTCGTTTTCTTAACAGACTTATTGCAATACACCGAATATGTATAAAACATATAAAAAAATTAAGAAAGTGGTCAAAAGAATCGGTTTTGTAAAGAAGCCAGTTTTTTTATGCAAACTTATTAAAGGAACAGAGTATTTCGGGAGAGGTAGAATACACCCATCACTGAGGAAAACGACTTGTAGAACTTCATGGCACAAATAGTTGTCGATTCGGCGCACTTAGTGATGAGGTATTTTCCCCATTTTCCCAGCAGAATCTGCATTCGCCGTTTTTTCTTAGCTTCCATCTCCTGAGGTGTTCTCCTGAGGTTCAATCTCCTGAGGTTTACAATCCGAAGATTGTTCTCACTCAGAAAGAAAAAATCGTGGGTGTTTGGGAAGGCTTGAAAGGAAAGAATGTTTTTGCGACGTTTCGCGACTTTATTGTCGCTTCTTCAGGCAGTACGACACAAACCGAGCATCGGTGTACATCGGGCAAAAAAATACCCGTTAGCTTCTGTTCTTTCTTCCGTATGTGGCTTAGTGTTGGCGGTTGGAATCGCCATGAATGTTTGTAGGCATAATATGGATTAATATATGTTTTGGGGCCTGAAGAAGCGACAATAAAGTCGCGAAACGTCGCAAAAACATTGTTTCCTTTCGAGCCTTCCCAAACACCCACGATTTTTTTCTTTCTGCGTACTAATTATTACTGGGAACTAACAATAATCATAATTGTTCTTACTTAAATCAAGAAAAATCTTTGTTTTTTCTTGGTCATAAGTTCGAAGAAATTTCTTGGAGTGTCTTAGACCGTTGGAGGATTCCCATCCAGGTTACGATTGGAATCTTCCAGGTTCTTGAGTTCTTTAAGTTGGTTTCCACTTGGAAAGTAGAACGGTTAGTTAGCTGAGTGTTTACCTCTGTTCTAGCTAGATCATTTGCGTTTTCATTGCCTTCAATCCCTTGGTGGGCTCGCACCCAGAGTAGGAGGACTCTATTATCTTTGCCTAGTTTGTTCAATTGCCGACTCGAAAATCGGCAGACAAAATCCAGCTTAACTTGATTATTTTCATCGGTTTGGTCTCGAGTTTGGTTGTCCAGCAAGACTGGCAGCTTTCAAACAAGACAGATTTCATTTTTGTTCGAACAGTTTTGATAACGTTGCAACAAAACCGCCCAGCAAAAACGCAGTCTGTGGGGTCCTTTAGATTTAGGCCAGACATTTAACACACATGATTCACATTTAGGTAGCCGACGTGAATTAATATCATTCTGGAAATCGATTAAAAATGAATTAATTTGATAAAATTTGAATATTTACTGCAATTTAAGTATTCCAAACATTCTTTTGTTGTTTATCTAGAGCGTGCTTACACGCGCGCTGTTTTTAATTTCTATTTTCATAATTAGCAACATATTCTAATAGTAAAATATAATCCAAAAAATCATTAGATGGCTTTGATAAAAAATTACTATACGCAAATAATAATATAATACTGCGAATATCTGCGAAAATTAAATATTTAGGGTCACTTTATATACAAAAAGTAAAGTAAAGTAAAGTAAATATTTCAAGTTAACGTCTCCTTTTTTCTGCCAGGGCTAGTCTGGACAGGGCCTACTTTGTTTACGCGAAATCCGAACGGCGGTCCTCGGCGATATCATGATCAATGGCCTACCGACTTTGCAAGTGTCTAAATCGACTCTTACTCACGAAATATCCGATCTCATCCGGCCTCGAACCGGCGTGAATGGACAGTGTGTGTCAATAGATTTTACACTTTTGCCTTTTTTTGGACAACAGCACGATACAGAGTTTCGAACCGGTCACCCGTCCATCCACTAGTATCGCCTTACGTCGCTTAATTTCGGTGTTCTAATGGGAACCGGTGTTTCGGCGTAGCTAGGCCGTTGCCCCTTATATACAAAAAATGTTTATTTTTTTAATTGTGCAGCTAAAAGAGAAATAATATACCGGGAGTTATAGGGTTAACCAAGAAGGCTAAGATAAATCTGTGTACAGCATCTTTAGTTTCCTGAAAACCCTGTAAAACACATGTACGGACTTTTCAAAGTCATTTTTATATGTATTGAAATGATTTAAATTTTTATGGAATGAAATGCTGCGATTGTCAGCATGTTAAATTTGATTGAGCATAATATAATATATGGATCCTAATGAAAGTAGTATTTCTCTTTTAAAATGAAAGATGTACATAAACTTCTGACTTAACTTATTGAAAGTAATTACTAAACGACAGTGAAGACAGACTGTTAACTAGATAATTAAGAAGAAACGAAGAATGTGAGGTCTAGACACAGTCTTGTGACAAAATCTGTATGTACCACCAGATGGTATTTTCTTAGAATTTTTACACCATCATTTGTGGATGATTGATGAAGAACGAATGCTGTCAAAATAATAAAGTAAATGACATTTTTTTCGAAAACATGTTTCAAACATACAGGGTGGCGCTTCTCATACGCCGCGGAGGTCCAAGGGGAACGACAATTTGTATTGAAATGAAAATTTGTGAGCATATGTAGGTTAATTCAGAGCACTTTCTCAAAATATAGAGAGTTCTATAGGGTGTCTCCAAAAAGTTAGATATCAGAGTTGTGTGTTTTGTAATGGAACACCCTATGTATTAATTGATTTTCGGATTCTGGGAGAAAAATAAAGGTGAGTTTTATAAGAGAAGTATATGACTAAAATCCTTGTTTATATATTATACAAGGCTAAAATGTAAGGTTTTTGACATATTTAACATTTTCTAGAAATAAAGAACAATTTTTAAATTACAATAAAAGCTACCTAAATTGGAATTCACCCGGTATAGCCTAATATGTAGTTAAACTAACTATTGTACTTTAAACTAAATTAAAACTTGGTCCAAAAAGTTATACAGGGCGAGACAAAATTAATATTGAACATTGGTCACCTTTAAAAGCATTTTCTCTTTTAATTTAAATGGAACACCCAGTATATTATTCCGATATTCAATGGAGAATTCATGTCTCGTCAAAATACTATTAAGGTTGCCTACCCCTCAAACAAATATTTTTCTAGATATTTTCATTTACATGATTTGATCTGGCTTTCATTTGGTGTCAGTTAAAACCAAAAAAAATCTTGGAAATTTGCTTAAAATGCAAACTTCTCCTACATCTGAAAGAA